CTATTTTACTGCTAGGTAACAGGGGCATAGGGTGAAAGAAACTCTGCCCATTGTTTCTCGCCGGCGCCTGGGATCGAACCCAGGACCACAGGATCACAAATCCAGCGTGCTGTCCGCTCGGCCGACCGGCTCCCCCATGGCTGAAATGTCTGTGTAGTTCCCACGTTGATTAGAAATGACAAGGTAAGGTAAAGTAAGGTGATTGTCAGGAGAAAGTGCTAAGCCAATAAAGCCATATAGGACTGGTAAGGGATCCGAGAAGACAAGTTACAGCCCCTCTCCTGTGTCAGGTAAGTCCACCACGGGCTCACCATAGCCCGTGCTACTTGGAACTTGTTCCGAGTAGCTGAATCTATAACAACAACAAAATAGCCAACAGTACAGTTTCCACAGTCAAGAATGTAGCACTCGGCTCGGCGTATGCAGTTCTAATCGATCCCAAGACGCTACAGCTTCGACACAGAACAGACAGCATAGGACCGCATCCCACATAGAGCTCCGCGACTCCGGCCACACTCGGCTCTCTGCTCCGCTCGTAGAGCAGTGTCGTAGACGTCTCAACGTCTACGACACTGCTGTATCCAAGACTATTAAATAAATGATACACTAAATACTGTGTATCTACTACACAACGTAACATAATCATACGTGACACTCCTGCCTCTACCTTTACATTTGCTGCATATTATCGCTTACTACTCACATCTACCATTCCTTCCTCCTTGTTTCAAATAAATAGTAATTTTGTTGGGGACAAACAGCCTGTATATATATATATATATATATATTATATATATATGTTACGTTTATGTCCAGGTTCCCCCCCCCCCCCAAGGTCAAACCCTCCCTAAGGATGCAACCCTACAACAGTGAACTCCCGGGTATCTATTTAATGCTTGGTAAACAAAAGTATTAGGTGATAGGAAGTGTACCCAACCATTTCTGTCTCGCCCGGGATTCCAGATTTTGATTGGAGAACTAACCCAACTGTACCTCTGAGAGCCAATAGCCTCTATAGAAATCTACGCCCAGTTGATTGACGGTTTAGAGGCGGGACCAAAGAGCTGAAGTTCAACCCCCTCAAACACAACTTGGTCAATACTCCGCTATCTTAGGAAGTCCTGCCACGCCTCTCTAATCCTCTAATGATGGGGCCAGCCCATCACCCTCTATCTGCCACCCATTAGCTCCAGTCCTCACCCCCTGTTCAAGCCGAGGCCGGGAGGCATGCCACCCCTCAACTCCCCCCCCCCCCCCACCAACACCCTCAAACAGAAAAGCGAGGGAGCCACTTCCCTCCCTCTTCCTGTCCTTCCCCTCCCCCCTCGCCCCTCCAGCAGGACTAGGGAGGCTCCCAACCATCGCGAACAATGCCAGGGACGCACCAGTGACTTCCCAACGCCCACGCTGCACGGTGGCAGGGAGGGAGCGTCGGTGAGTACAACAACCTTACAGTCGCTTCACATTTCCTTTGTCCTCCTCCCTGGCGTGGATGGGATGACTGGCTCCTCCACAACACTGCAGAAAAGGGGATAGGGACAGTGTACATTCTCGCTGTCCCTTAGAACGTGTTCCCTCGGTGCTGTGTGATTCAGCCAGTCTGTTGTTTTGTGGGGTAGTTGGAGTGTGTTCGCCGTGCGTCGCTTTCGGTCGTACACGACCAGATTACCATTTAAAACATATACTACAAGCACCTTCTGTGGTTGATCAATAAATTACTGAACTATATGCTTAACAGGTCTCTACAGAGGACAGAAAAAAAATGTATATATGCAGTTTGCATTGTAAAAGTGTGGTCACGTCTGTGGTAGGAAATAATAGATTAAAAAAAAAAGTCTCTGCCGCTCTGATGGGCTATTTACTACAAAAGTGCTTGTGTCATACATATAACTTTTTTTTCTAAGTGTGTGGGATCCCGGTAGTACAGTTTGATTCGTTTTCGACGCACAGTTAAACGATAATTCCGGGCTTGAATCCCGGGTTGGACAGATATCCTTTCACCTAATGCCTCTGTTCACTTAGCAGTGAGTAGGTACTCAGGAGTTAAATCAGCTTGTGTGGTTGCATCCTGAACAGGGTCTGTAATTCGGCCTTGCGATAAACATTAATGAATACACTCTGGCTTCCTGTCCCACGACACAGTGAATTATTATTATTATTATTATTATAAATCATTCAATGTTGTTATGACAGTGGCGCTTCCAAATAATTCTATATTAGGGTAGACCCCTAACTTTACGTACTGTGTACTCGTTCAATACTTTGAACGTACTTTGGTTCGTTCAATATTCGTACTCAAACTCGTACTTTGAAGGAATTATATTAAAAACTGGTTATGTAGAAATCTCAGTTATGCTTGGAATAATTTTTATTTAAATATTACTTTTAGGTATAGCGTAGGCTTTAAATTTAAACTAATTACGAATCATCACGTGGGCGGTACTGGAAAGTTGACATACTCGCAAATACGATTCAATTTTTAGTTTAGTAAATTTTTAAATTACAAAATTTGGCAAGTGCGTCAGCAGACAGTATTTGTACATAATAGATCCTATGTACAGTATAAATGGAAAATTTTCATTCAAGAGGCCTGTTAAGTTCAAGTTCATGTATGTTTATTGAGATAAGCAATAAATACATCTCAAAGGGATAGAGTAGCTTAGGCTATTTCTACCCCCCTCTACTTCAAGTCCCTCAAGGGGCGCACAAATTCAGTGAGTACAGTGAGGCTCGTTAAGAAGCCGTGTTATAGTTAGTTTTAGCATGGGTCCACCTCCCTTAATAGTGACATCGTAAAGGAGAAAATGCCAATTTATTATCATTATCATCATAGCGTGGACGTTGTACTCGCACGGTATGTTATGCTTTACCGATTTAGTTTCTTGTTTAAAATAGTGAAAGCTTCAAGGTCACAGTGATCAAGGGTCATATAGTCATACTCTGGTCAAGTAACAAACTGGTCTGTGGTCATGGTCACAAACTGGTCGTTGCATTATGACCAAGTTGTCACAAATATTCACAGTCAAGGTCATAATTAAACGGTCAGAATGTTAAATATTAGAGGGGGGTCAAAATCCCGAACTTGTCAGATCACGGCAGCCCTGGATTAAAAAAATAAATCATTAAGCACAGCTTGTAATCATGTGAGTATCGAGAAGAAATTAAACGGCCTCCACAAAGTTTTTTTCCAGTCCGGGATTTACATTGGACCATAATGCCGTGTTGTGGCTGAAGTAAAGCCCATGAAATGGCGACCCCATGATACATTAAACAAATATTAATATTAGTATATTTATAGTAAGCTATGTATCTTCAAAGCAAGAAAGCAATGTCATAATTGGTATTTTGTTTCATATAAATAATGATATTTTATAATGTCCTCTATAGGTCTGAATGGGGCCCCTGGGTCACGATTACACGTTAGTAAAGTATAGATCTCAGACTTGTTAGACATCAATTAAGGTCACAAATTTAGCCAGTTGAGGTCATTACTGTATCTTAGTCTCTACGAGCCTCACTCCATATCGGGGTGAGGCTATGCACCCCATACCCATCTTGTGGGCGGTAGTGGAAAGGGTTACAGAGGCACGTAATGGGCTCAGGGACTGGGGTTCAGTCCCTGAGCCCATTATGTGCCTCTGTAACCCTTTCCACTACCGCCCACAAGATGGGTATGGGGTGCATAATAAATGAACTAAACTAAAAACTATCGGGGTGAGAATAGCTTGAGTTACCTCATTCCTTTGTGTGTATTTATACCTCAATAAACTTATTTAAATTTCAATTCAATTCACTCCATATCTTCATCTTGACCTGTGTTTATACGTGTTGGAAGACACGTGGTGGTACACACCGAGATCTGCAGTGCACAAGGTTCGAACAGCAGCTCTCTAGATTATAGAGTACGTGTTGCTCGATTATATTGATTATCTAATATAATCAGTTAATGCAATTACTTTCATTTCTCATGGTTTCATTTTATTTCCTTTTAGTAACTGTTTATTGACTTTGCCTCCAAACTCTAATTGTGGCTCGCTCCACTTACGTACAACTCTAGCACTGAAGCAGTGTTTCTGTCGTGGGTCTTGTAGTACAGTGGTTTTCGTTCTTGACTCACAATCTGGAATTCCAGCTTCGATCTCCGGGCAAGACAAAAATGGTTGTGCTTTTTTTCCCACCTAGCAGTAAATAGTTAGGCAACGGTTGTGGGTTGCATCCTGGGAAAGGTTAGAAGTTTGACCTAGACCAGGGGGGTGGTGGGGCAGTGGGCCCCGAATACAAGCCTAAAATATTTCCCTGAGGACCACTAATATTAGTGGCCTCGACGAGGGCAGGAAGATGGTGGCTTGTCAAAGGTCCCCTCCATTTGCCCAGATGCTCTTTTCTAGTTATCTTTTAAAGCTCGCAGAGATTTGGCGTTTATGGCTTCAGTAGGTAGGCGGTTCCACGGGTTTACAATTCTATGGGTGAAAAAGCATCAATTGTTTTCTGTCTTACATTGTGGCTTGTTGAGCTTAAACACACACACGTGTGTGATGTGTGTGTCTCTCTAACATAGATGGGATTACAAATAAAACAAGTAAACTCGGAGAATGGGCACTAGAAGAAAACCCAGACATAATAGCACTCACAGAAACAAAGCTAACAAAAACCATAACAAATGCAATGTTTCCACAGGACTACTATGAAGTGAGGAAAGAGAGAGAAGGGAGAGGAGGAGGTGGTGTAGCTTTGCTGATAAGAAAAGGTTGGAGTTTTGAAGAGATAGTTAATCAGAGCTGTGAAGGTTTCAGTGACTACATATCAGGCACCATAGCAACTGGAGGACAGAAAATTATAGTAGTAGTCATATATAACTCTTCCACTAAACGACAGAAGACCCAAACAGGAATATGATAGAAACAACATGGCCACCATCAATATAATAAGGAGCAGCTTCTGTGGCTAGCAGGAATGGATCCAGACTACTAATCATGGGAGATTTCAACCACAGGAAGATAGATTGAGAGAACAGAGACCCACGTGGAGGACCAGACACATGGAGACAGGCTCCAGTATGTTTCTGTGAATAATTCAATTTCTCCCACCCTACCCATCAACATTGGTGTTCCTCAGGTATAGCATACTTGGCCCTCTCCTCTTTCTCATCTACATTAATGACCTTCCAAATGCCTCCCAACACCTCAAACCAATTCTATTTGCTGACGACACAACCTTCATTTATTCCAGTCCTGACCCCCTTGCTCTAAATGCCACAGTAAATACTGAGCTAAATAAAGTCCATCTTTGGCTAACTGCCAACAAACTCACCCTTAACACTGACAAAACTTTCTATATTCTGTTTGGCAATAAATCCTCTAATCAAATAAATCTCAAAATAAACAATACCCAAATTTGTAACAAATTAGATGGCAAATTCCTTGGCATTCTCATTGACCACAAGCTGAATTTCCAGGGACACATTCTAAATATATCAAAAAAGTTTCAAAAACTGTTGGCATTCTTTCTAAGATCAGATATTATGTACCCCGCCCTGCCCTGGTGACTCTTTATTACTCCCTTATCTATCCATATCTCAACTATGGTATTAGTGCTTGGGGCTCTACTACCCAAAATCATTTACGTCCTCTAATTACTCAACACAAAGCTGCTATTAGGACAATATCCAACTCTGGCCCCAGACATCACTCGGTACCCCTACTCAAATCTCTGAATATGTTAGACATTAAGTCACTGCACATTCTCTCATGTGTATTATACATATATAAAATGCTAAACTGTAATGCCAATCCTGACCTCAAAAGCTTCATAGAAGGTTGTAACAGAACCCATGAGCACCACACCAGAAATAAATACAGTTTTGATATTCCTAGAGTACGACTTAATCAAACTAGAAATGCTCTTCAAATCAAGGGACCCAGATTGTGGAATGACCTTCCCAACCATGTTAAAGACTGTACCTCTCTCAACCAGTTTAAGATAAAAACGAAGCTATACCTAATAAATTCCCTGTAACCTACCTTACCCCTCTATTGTCAACCAATGTCTGTTTTTTTTAAAGAGCGCTATTTGTCGACAGAATTGTATTTGTCCTGCTTTTTCAGCTATGTTTTCATTCCATGTTTTCATTTTGCTCTTTATGCTCAATTAGTATTAAGCTTTAGTCATTTAAGTTTTTCATGCCTGAAACGCTTTGCGTAATAGTGGCTTTAGGCATTGTATGTACTAGCCCTATCTATAAATCCATCACTCTTTGTAAAATCTCTTGTATGTATGTACCTTACCTAAATAATCATTTGAATTTGAGAGCTAAGTTGCTGGACGTGGCAACAAGAAACTTTCTAAGTTAACACGTCAAGGGACCGACAAGAATGAGAGGAGAGGACGAACCAGCCATGCTTGATCCTGATATTTACCCTAAATGAGTCGGATATAAGGGAAGTTAAGTTGGAAGCCCCTCTGGGAATGAGTGATCATAGTGTATTGAGCTTTGAGTACCTGGTTGAGCTAGGAATTATCTCCCCCAAAAAAGAACTGGGAAACAAAGGGCTGGCGTACCGAAAGGGAAACTATGAGGAGATGAATAAATTCCTAAGGGATATACCATGGGACACAACTCGGAACTAAGTCCGTACAAGACATGATGGACTATGCCACCAAAAAGCAAGACTGTCAAAAATAATCCCAGGGGGATTGTTTACCACCTTTAATTAGTCATAATTTTTCTCATTGTAGCTAAGCAAGAGACCATCACAATGAAGGTTGTGGGAGCCGTGCTGGTATTATTGGCGTGGTTGAGTGTGGCTGCATCTGCTCCCAGAAGTGAACATCACGGTCAGTTCTTACTTGTCCATTCTAATAACTATTTAAGTTTATTATCCAAGTTTTCAAAAGGATTGAAGCAACTGAAGAGGATTTATACTTAGTATTGAATGAACATTTGTACTTACTTTTTGTGACAAAGCCTGTTAATAGTTGATTGCATTTCTATATGAAGTCATACTGGCTCAGTGCTTTTTCCTTGTAATTACCTTACCTTACAGAATCTAATACAGTATTAACTTGATCAGAGTTTTTCAAGCTTGCGTATGGAACATAACTGTACTGTACAGAATATAACATCTCCTTGTATTATTAATCGGAATCTTTCCTATTGTAGAATCACCTAGAGAAACCCCTCATGTTGATTTCCTTGAGGATGCTCTTGGTGAATGGCTAGCTAAATTTGACACCTACACATTCATGGTAAAAGAGGATGTTGACAGCAGCAATAATGTGAAGAATACTGAGGATGAGGACGATATTCTTCCTGAAGAAGAGATAGAAAGTGATAGAGAGACACTTACAGATGATGAGCAGCCATCATTTGCACCCATATCTGTGTCACTGGATGAAAAAGGTCTTCTGAACCCCAACGTAGATTACCAAGGTGAACAACTTAATGTTTGATAAATAAAATAATTTTATAAAGCAAAAACAAACAATTCAGACTGGGTTTCATAGATAATTTTTTTACATTGATCAAAGTATCCTATATTAGATATGGTTGTAATATCCTATATTACAACCATAGCCAGATTCTCTTTGATACCACTGCATGTTGACCATGTGATGACGTCTCTCAGATCTTGCAGATTCATAGAATGATTTGCCATTACAGTATTTTCTTCCTCAACTCTATTCCCTCAGTGTTGGTGGAGTCGTTGGTGGCTGAAGAGGGTTCTGTATTACTCACCCTCAGCAAGTATGACAACAAGTCTTCTTGTGGAGTTGGGGGATTTTCTAAAGAATCCAAACTAAACTTTACCAAGAACCATATGGAAATTGAACATCAGGTAGAAACTTCTGATGAAACTATCATTGCATTTGCAATTGAATCAGAGGTATGTAACCAAGTTCCAGTATGTACATGCATTTGTCAAATATATACAGTATAGTGTATATATTTATTATATTCGAACCTATGCCGTCCAGGATTACTCCTAATTGTACACAGTACCGTGACCACCGCACCAATGATTGTCTATCATAGACTATCATCCCTAGGCGTCAGACCATAAATATACTGTAGTGTGAAAATGAACTTTGATGAGTTAATTTTTAAACTTATCTTGACAGTGAAGAAAAAAAATAGTCCATTTGTTTTATTAATTAGCAAAATTAGGTATACACAGTAATGTGCTGCTACCCTATTCTGTATGAGATATTACACAGTGTAGATCAAGAACTAGATATAAGTTTAACTATTATTCCCATCTCACAGGATCGTTAATCATACATGGAATTAGGGGAGATAATACCTGCCTTAATACAAAAACAAATCAGCTATGACTAAAAAATTCAGGTAAGAACATAAAATGTAAGGCTGATCTGTTACCCTTCACTAGCAAAATCTGGGTACAGCACAAGAATATCTTCCAATATTCCTGAGTGTATGAAGTAATTACAGTGCTCAAAGTACCTCATACCGTTAGGTTTGAGGTCACTTATAACAGGGCATTCACAGATATAGTGTTGGAGATTATGTCCCAGCTCTTGTTCACATAATTTACAATTGGAATGTTCCCCATTGGGGAATTACTCGATGCTGTATTGGAATACGCTTGTTTTAATTAGAGGCCAGTCATACACTGTGTTGTGTATTCTATGACACCCTCTAATATATGGACTCTGAATTTAACACTTGTTTACCAGGTGAGTCTTTGATTACCAAATATAATTCTGAAGTTTTTTTTATCAGTAATATTTTCAAATATAAACATTATTTGATGTTATGCACACCTACCTGAATATATATGTACCATTTTTCACATTTTCAACACTGGGAGCACTTGCTCTGAAATCAGCCTTTTCTCATGAGTTAAAAATTGCCAGATATGAAGTGGTTTTGCCTAATTTCCAGTAAAAAAGTGAAATTATTCAATATGCAAACAAAAACACAAGTTCTTCGGAAAATATTTATGTAGTAAGTTTTAGATCAGCTAGATTGTGATTGGCATATTGGTTTGTAAACTCCAGGCAACAATTCCCTTTAATGACTAGGTAGTCATTAGGAAAGCCTAGCACTTGGAAGAGCTACAGGATTTGAGCGCTCAAAATAAGCAAGACATGGGTTGACATTTAGGGGGTAAGGTAGGTTACATGGAGTTAATTAGGTAGTACTTGGTTTACTTTTAAACTGGTTGAGAGAGGTACAGCCTTTGACATGATTTGGGAGGTAATTCCACATTCTGGGTCCCTTGATTTGTAGAGAAATAAAATGACAATTATTACATGATGGATGGAACAGCATAACTGTAACAGAGAAACAGTAATTTTCCAGATTAAACAAAAGGAATACAATATTTTGTTAAATTTGTTACGTGGCAGATAACAGTAGCAGTACAGGTTTAGTAATTAATGTTCACTAACAGCAAAACATACATTGATATTTAGGAAGTAAGGTATATTACATAGAGTTCATTAAGTATTTCTTAGTTTCTCCTTTAAACTGGTTGACAGAAGGACAGTCTTTGATGTGATTAGGGAAGTCATTCCACATTTTGGAACCTTTAATTTGCAGCGCTGTTCTGCTTTGGTTAAGTCACACTATTGGAATATCAAGTAGATACTTGTTTCTAGTGTGGTGCCCTTGGGTTCTGTTGCAGCCCTTTAGGAAGTGCTTAAGGTCAGGCGTAGCATTACAGTTTAATGTTTTATATAAATAGAGCACACTTGAAAGGATGTGTAGTGACTTAATATCAAACATATTCAAAGATTTAAGGGGCCCTGAGTGGTGTCTGGGGCTTGAGTTTCTTATTATTCTAATTGTTGGTTTGTGTTTAGGAATTAGAGGATGTAGATAATGTTAGGTAGAACCCCAAGCACAGATATATAGGCGAGATAAGGATAGATGAGTGAGCAATAAAGTACTTCCAAGGCAGAGCGAAGTACATAATACCTGATTTTACAAAGAATGTCAACTGTTTTATTAATATTTATTTTATATAATTAGCATATGGCACTGAAATTCAATTTTCAAATAATTACAACACCATTTCTCTTATATTTATTTATTTATTTATTTATTTATGCATATACAAGAATGTACATAAGGAATGTGAGGATACAAATATGGTAATTACAGTCTTGTAAAGCCACTAGCACGCGCAGCGTTTCGGGCAGGTCCTTAATCTAAGAAAATTTTAAGGAGGTAAATACTTGCAAAATTATAGACAAAAAATGATAACAGATTACATGAAATGAAAAAAAGATGAGAGAAAATTGTAGGTACAGTATATTAAAGCACATAGGTAGCTAAGATTGATTGCAATGACAGCTTGAATGGTAGTTGACAAAAAAATTGGTAGGCATAATACAGCAGAAACAATATAAGATTGGTTGCAATGACAGCTTGAATGGTAGTTGACAAAAATTGGTAGTCACAATACAGCATATGGCTAGCACATAAAAGAAGACAGCAATGAACACAATGATAAGGTTGTTTGAAATTACATAAAAATTAGGAGATTGGGTAACACTAGGTACAGAGCAAATTTAAAGCTCAGTGTAGGAAACTAAGAAGATGAAGTTAGGTACTTTTTGGTTTTGCTTTTAAATAAGGCAAAAGTTTTACAGTTTTTCAATTCACTAGGGAGTGAGTTCCATAAACTAGGTCCCTTAATTTGCATAGAGTGTTTACACAGATTAAGTTTGACCCTGGGGATATCAAAGAGATATTTATTTCTGGTGTGGTGATAATGGGTCCTATTACATCTGTCCAGGGAGAGTTTCAGAGCATGGTTTGCATTTAAGAACAGGGTTTTGTAAATGTAGTTGACACAAGAGAATGTGTGGAGGGAGTTAATATTTAGCAAGTTTAGGGATTTAAACAAGGGAGCTGAGTGTTGTCTGAAAGCTGAGTTAGTTATCATTCTGATAGCAGATTTTTGCTGTGTGATGATGGGCTTAAGGTGGAATAGATGAATAGATGAATATGAATAGGTTGATTACTATCTGTATGATGTGCAGTATTATTATATAAAAATTTGTACATTTTTTGAGCAGGGTGCTTCCAGTTTCCCTGGTGTTAGTTCTTCCTGGGATCAAATTAGTGATGATTTCTGGTGGGTGCAAGGGCGGTTGATGGGCGGAGGCATTTTGGCTCTCACCTTCACGCCTCCAGAGTGTGGCTGTCTCATTCTGAGGTAAGTGCTGAATTGGCTTCTTCTTGCACTGATAGACTATTACCAAGGTGAAAAAGCAGCTACACTGTATATATATTATTAGCTGTGAGGTCTTCACTTAGAATTGATCCTATTGCATGCATTTTACTCTACTTATAAATGCATGAATACATGGTAAAGTGGTAAACAAGGTACAATTAGCGTTTAACTTATCCTGTATTTTTGAAAAAATGGTAGGTGATGATAGAAGGAAGAGAGAAAGTGGGTAGTGATACAAGGAAGATGGGAATAAAGATGCCAGGAATAGAGCAGTATGCATCAAGGACAGGAAATATCCAACAGGGTAAATACAACAACATAGGAATAAATGAGAGAGAGGGAATAGTAATACAGTCCCATCATAAATGAGTTCAAATAAACAATGTATGTAAACTAGAAAGTGACCAAATAAAGGCATTAGATGGAAGCAATAAAGGAGAAAGAGCACAACTTACAGGTCCTCACAGCCGAGTAAACAGTGCTCTGGGGGGGCATAGTCCTAAGGGCCTGGGTTCAAGTCCAGGCTTCTTGTTGAGGCAGAAACAAATGGGTAGAGTTTCTTTCACCAGATGCTGCTACTCACCTAGCAGTAAATAGGTATCAGCGAGTTAGACAGCTGCTACAGGCTGCATCCTGGGGATGTGTGTTTTGGGGGAGAGAAATATGTAGTAGATATGATAGAGGATTTATATGTCGAGAGTCAGTACATTAGACAACCGACAGTTAGATAGGTGTGGTCCAAGAGCTAATAGCTCAATCCTTCAGGCATAAATAGTAAATACAAATAGTAAATATAGTGTTGAAGTGATCAAGAGGTTTCAGAATAAAGTGAAGAAACTAGGAAATTTAAAATAATTACAAGGGACACAACAGGGAAAACAGGGCGCTGAAGAGGAACTTAGGATTCTAAAGATAAGATCTAAATAAGAGATAGAGACAAAAGAGCAAATTTATGAAGAGCAGAAAAAGAATAGAGAGAAGGAAGCAACCAAAGGAAACTAGGAAGACTGTAATTACCTAAGTGCAGTTACAGGATGAGAACTATGCCCATAGTGTCCTGTCTCCCCAGCACTCTTTGTCATATAATGCTTTGAAATTACTAACAGTTTTGGTCTCTACCACCTTCTCACTTAACTTGTTCCAACTGTCTACCACTCTGTTTACAAAAGTGAATTTTCTTATATTTCTCTGGCAACTTTGTTTCGTTAGTTTAAATCTATGACCTCTTGTTCTTGAAGTTCCGGGTCTCAGGAATTCTTCCCTATCAATTTTATCGATTCCTGTTACTATTTTGTACATAGAATGAAAACTCTACACCCCAGAAGTGACTCAAACCCAGACCGCCAGGAGCACAATGCAACTGATGTACATGGTACCTTAACCACTCGACCATCAGTGACCGTACAAATGCATTGCTTTAGTGATGTATTTATGAGAAAGTATTTAGGCAGTGTAGTGGGCTCAAACTCACGTCCCTGGACTTTCCAGACACATGCATTACCCACTGAGCCTTGATGAGCTTCAAGTAGTACTGTGATAGTAGCATGGTGTCTGTGCAGTTGGTTTACAAGCAAAAGGTTCAAAAGTTTGTTTCCGGTGCAGGACAGAGACGGTTGGGGCTGTTTTCTTATGCCTGATGCCTCTATTTACTTAGCAAATACCGGTAGGTACCCAGGAGTTATCACGGAACTATTGAAGGTCAGTTGGCCAAGGGAGACCTTAATAAACCTAACATAATTTATGTTCCCCCAACAATGGAAAACCAAATCAAAATACAAAGTAAAACTGTAATATAATAATGTATTTAAAAGTGTGTGTGTAATAGTGAATGCAAACATTATATTATATAATATTCACAGGTTTTTACTCATCAACTTTTAAACTCTCTTACAGCACCTACTATGCCCTTCCTGTGGGGAAACTAACACTGGTGGTGGGTCCTCAGGCATACCCTACAGAGCTCCAGGCACTAGTGTGTGTAGACCCTTCATCCACATACCAGGCAAGTCTCGGGTGTTTTTACATCTCTGCCAATTTACTTTTGGCTAATATCTTGAACTGTCAACTTAATTTAGGGGATTAGAAGTGAAAAGTATGTTGACTAAACTCAGGTACATATAGGTCTTAAACAAAATTTTCACGTTAACCATTGACTAACACAAGGTAAAATAACTTCTTAGTAAGTTGAGACAAAAAATTAAAATTTGGTACTACTGACCTGTAGGCCAAAAAAAAAAGGAATCTTAGAAGTTAAGATATAATAAACAACATGAAATAGATATATGGTTCTCGTGTGATGTCTGTGAGTTCTGATGCACTTCTGCAAGAAGCATTTGGGGTCAGGATTGGTACTGCACTTGTGGGTTTTGAAGATACTGTATAGAGCACACGTGAGAATATGTGTAGTGCCTCTCTCAGCCTTTTTAATGAGCTGTGTTCTCTTCACAGCATTCATTACTGCAGGTCAAGTGCTATATATTCGTAATGGCTTGGTGCTTTCTCCAGATGATTCCATTCCATTCCATTACCGCAGGTTCCCCTTTATTGTGGCTGCTTGTGAAAGTTTTGAAAAATCATTTGTTAATTTATTTTTAATTTGCACGAGTACTAACTTTGCAACTCAGTCTTACTTTAATTTATTTTTTGAAACCTGCTATTGTATACATAAACTAAACTATGAAATATTAACTGAATTTTTATTAAACTATTTAACCGTTAATGAAATATTAATATTTTGTAATTTACAGGCTGGATAAAAAATTAATATACATTTTCACTCAAAACACCCATTGCTATGTAATTAAGCCTAATTTTTAATTTTACTCTTGGCATCTGATGTATCCACTTTTTTCTGTGGAATTTTGGTATCCATGGTATTGGAGAAAACATTTAATAAACTTAATTCAAGAGCTAAGTGATAACTGAGAATATTTGTCTTTTGCCTATAAATAGGATTCTAATGAGGACAATGAGGAAGATGAGGACAATGAGGAAGATGAGGAACATGATACAGATGAAAGTGAAAATACAATTGCAGATAATGATCAGGTATTTGTTAATAATTAAGTTGCAGCTATGGAATTTAAAGTAGCCAAATAATCATGTGTCCTCAATAGTCAGTTATCAAATAGTGTGTTACAATTGTTATTGCCATATATATAAACTTATTATTATTTATAAATTAATTGCCCAAGCACTTGGACTGAACGGTCGAGCAACAGTCTCACTTCTTGCAAGTCGGCATTCAGTCTATGGCCGTCCAAGTGGTTGGACACCATTCCTTCCCTCCATCCTATCCCAAATCTTTATCCTCATCCCTTCCTAATGCTACGGTATAGTCATAATGGCTTTGCATGTTCTCCTGATACAGTACAGTAATTGCATTAACTTCTAAATTAATTATGGGGTGTTTGTATTTTCATTATTTATTTTATATTAAAGTATTTTAGATTGTCTCTTGCAACTCAAAACCACAGTTTGGATTTTGTAGCTGTAACCAAGCATTTTCTGTGCTTATACTTTTAGAATTGTTAATGCCTACTCTAATAATAGTTTAGTGGTAAAGCAGATATATTAACATGGTTTAAATTTATATAAATAACCCTAAATATGTAAGATTTAAAACTGTTTCATACTAATATTAAATAACTTTTTGAAAGGCTTGACATACACTTCACCAATATCCACATATAAAAAACAGTGATAGGAATTGACGCATCTGACAAGGAGGAATTTTTTAAACCTGCAACTTCAATAACAAGTGGTTATAGATTCAAGATAAGGAAACAAAGGTTTCTAAAATACTGTATACAAAAATTCTCCTTTGCAGAGTTGTAGACAGTTGGAACAATCTGAGGTGATAGATGCCAAAACCATCATTAGTTTCATTGCATCATATGATAAAGATTATAAGGAAAGCCAGATACCATGAGTGTAGCTCATATTCTGTAACTACACATCGGCAATTGCATATAGGTAATGTCAGTTCACAAAAATAAAAAATACTGTAAATCAATAGAATACCTTGGAAGAAATGGCATACTAATGTACAGGCAGTATACTTTCGAACTGGAAAGCCCTGTGTAATACATCAACCACCAACCAGGATGTCTGGTCAGAGTTCAAACAGCAGGGATGTTGATTCTCAGAATCATCGACAAGTGAGCTTCTCTGATAGAGCAGAGAAGCTTAGAGAATAAGGGAATGGAACAACATATGGCACATATCATTGAATGTGGCTAGATTCCATGTAACGGAATGTGGGATAGGGAAAACTTATAAGTTCAGTTAAAAGATGCTGACGAACTTGGAGGATCATATCAAAGGTATTGTGAGAGGAGCCTATGCTATGCTTAGGAATTTCAGAATTTCTTTTAAATTCATGGATGGAAAATACTTAAGAAATTGTTCACAACATTTATGAGACTGACATTAGAATATGCAACAGCTGTGTAATGTCCATATCTCAAGAAGCATATCAATAATCTAGAAAATGTGGAAAAACATATTACTAAATGGCTTCCAAACAGGGCCATCTTAACAGCATTGTAGGCCCTGGGCAAAGCAATGCACTGGAAGCCCCTTTCTCAGATGATGGGCACTGGGGTGCCCCCTCCTCAGGTGATGGGCACTGGGGTCTGCTACTCAGATGATGGGCATTGGGACTCCTACCCAGATGATGGGCCCTGCCTGTCCACGAATGTTCAGGATTACCCACAAATAGTTATATGGAGAAATACTAAAGAAAATTGTTCACTACTTTTTTTAGACCAAAGCTGGAATATGCAGCGGTTGTATGGTGTCCATATCTTAAGAAGCAAATCAACAAACTGGAAAAGGTGCAAAGACATGCCACTAAGTGGCTCCCAGAACTGAAGGACAAGAGCTACGAGGAGAGGTTAGAGGCATTAAATATGCAAAAACTAGAAGATAGAAGAAAAAGAGGTGATATGATCACTACGTACAAAATAGTAACAGGAATCGATAAAATTGATAAGGAAGAATTCCTGAGACTCAGAACTTCAAGAACAAGAGGTCAAAGATTTAAACTAATGAAACAAAGCTTCCGGAAAAATATAAGAAAGTTCACTTTTGTAAACAGAGTGGCAGACGGTTGGAACAAGTTAGGTGAGAAGGTGGTGGAGGCCAAAACCATCAGTAATTTCAAAGCGTTATATGACAAAGAGTGCTGGGGAGACGGAACACCACGAGCATAGCTCTCATCCTGTAACTACACTTAGGTAATTACACCGAGGTAATTACACAAATTAATTATTGAAAAGGGAATTTAAGCCTAGGCTTTTCCAGTGGAAAGTTGACTAATTATCCACTGCTAAGATATCTCCCCATGAACAATATGGCAGCAAGGGGCTCCTACAACTGTAGGGCCCTGTGCAACTGCCCAGTGTGCCCATACTTTAAGACAGCACTGCTGCTAAGCCTGATCGACAAGCAAGAGCTACGAGGAAAAAAATGGAGGCATTAAATATGCTAAATCTAAGATGGATGGAAGGAAAAGAGGTGATATGATCATCACATACAAAATTGTTACAGGAATCAATAATTTGACAAGTAGAAATTTTTTAATACAATACATATTGCACTTTTTAAGAATGAAAGCCCATAGATTTAAACCTGAAAACAAAGGTCTAAAAAAATATATGGAAATATATTGACCAGACCACACACTAGAAGGTGAAGGGATGACGACGTTTCAGTCCATCCTGGACCATTCTCAAGTCGATTGTGAGACACAATCTACCTGAGAATGGTCCAGGACGGACCGAAACGTCGTCGTCCCTTCACCTTCTAGTGTGTGGTCTGGTCAACATACTTCAGCCACGTTATTGTGACTCATCACCTGCATATAAAAATATATTTTTGTGAACAAATTTGTGGATAATTAGAACAATTTGAATGATAGGGTGATGGATGCTAAAAAACAAAAATATGACATTTTGAAGCTTTCGATGGTTTTTAGCATTAGCATATATATTTTAAGGTTGATTGGACACCGTGAACATAACTATCATTGTACAAATACGCAATGGTTTTCCATTGTCAGGAAAAGGAATCCTGTTAGGCTTATAGAGGTCCCCTTAGGTCAACTCCTGACCTCCAGAATGCAACCCAAAACAATTGCCTAATTCTCGGCTTACATTTTACTGTTAAGTGAGCAGGAGGCGTCAGGTAAAAGGAAACTAATGATATATTGAAATGTTTCCATCAATTTATTTGACTTTTAGAACCCTCTATTGATTGCAGAGGAAACACTTTAAACATAATTTTAAGTTTAAAACAAACTTTCAGGATCCGGGTGGTACAGTTGGGTTCATGATTGACGCACGATTGAGAATTCCGGGTTCGTGTCCCAGGCGGAACAGAAATGGTTGAGCAATTTCCTTTCATCTAATGCCTCTGTTCACCTAGCAGTGAGTAGGTACTCCTGAGTTAGTCAGCTTGTTGCGGGGTTGCATCCTGGACTGGGTCAGTAATTCAGCCTTTGGGGGTAACTAGATAAAAGCCAAGCATGTATGAATACACTCTGGCTTCTTGGGCCTCCAACACAGTGAATTATTATTATTATTATTATAATATTGTGCGTCCAGTAGTACAAGAGAACACACACTATAAATACGATACTCACATGTTCTTCAACAACAAAAAATCTTTGGTATATTGTACAGTATTTAGATATTGACCTTGATTCTCTCCACAGCAAATATGTAATTGATTTAAAATTTGCCCTAATAAATAACATTATCAAGTGTTACCTAATCAGTATTGGGGTCTCCAGGCAGATGAACAAGACACCAGTTTAAGCAGTTGGGTGAGAGAAAATGGAAATGAGGATGAAGATGTATGTATGAATAGCATTTTTTTTATTAGCATTCTGTTTTTCTGTGGAGAGCCTCTTTGGCTCCCCGGAGCTATACCAGGCTGATGTGTATATATTAGACCCTGGCAACAGTCACTCAATGTAGTTCTAGGCCTACCATGGACCACAGGCCAGAACCTGGTCAACTCAGAGAGGCACGAGGAGTAATCGCCTATAAATACCCCCATGTAGTTGGAAGCAGTCTATATCTATTTATTTATTTATTTATTTATAGACAAGAAGGTACATTGGGTTTTGTACATTGTACATTGGTACATTTTACCACATTACATCTGTTTAACAGCTTGCATGCACCACCAAGCAATGCAATGATAACTTTGTAGATCACTTCCCCGGTGATTAATTACTAATTAACTACTTGAATTATTTATTTTAAAAATTCTACAAACTTAATGTCATAATATATTATGTAAAAATGTTAATAATTTTGTATTTATTATTGACAATATTTACATAAGTTTTGTTAATTAAAAAAACACAAATTGGGTGCTTGTCATCTTTTACAATGGATTGATAGATGGATTTAATCAGTAATTGAGTTTATTTAGTTTTAAAAATATATTAGTGAAATATAGCAGTGATATGGAATTGGAACCAAACATGGAGAAGTTTAGCATGAGAGTGAAACAGTTAATGAACTATATATTTTTTATCATGAAATAAATTGTTTGAACATAAGTCAAGTACAGTAATTACAAAATGCTTAAATAACATAGAAGTTTTCAGTAGCATTGGTCACCAAATGGTCACCAAAGCATGGTCACCAAATACAGTAGATAGACTGAAAGTGACATACAATTTTCAATTGTTACAATTACCATAAGAAAGTTTTGATATATATTCTTCCTGATGAATAAATTTTCAATCCTGGAAGTAGACTTTTCTTTCATTTACTTGACAGAGTGTGTCAGGCAAGGCAAAGCTAGGAAAGCGGCATAAAAATCAAAAGGCCAAGCAAGAGGAAAGACGTTTAAGGGTAGAACGGAGGCAAGCAAACCGTCAAAGGATTCGGCAAGCCAGCAGGTGTTTATATATTCTCTAAGTCATTTTTATACATTTATGTTTCATCCTTAGATGTATTTGTACAACAGTTTAAGAAAAAACTCTGAAAGGGTTACTATGTCTCATTTCAATATTATATTCATATATATATTGTGTGTTCATTGAGGCTTTAATCTTTCATCCTTATTCTCTGACCGCTTAATCCTATTATTCTAAGCTAAATCTATACCTGCTTCTGGGTAATTCTTTACCTGGGGATATGTGGTCATATTCAGCTGTTGACCTATACCCTCCCTTTGTTTCTCCTAGTCAGTCTGGTGTTGACAACGGCTGTAAAGTGGCCGAAACGTTCATCTTCCTTTCCAATTTCTTTGTGGATTTTCTGCATAAATAGTAATATGTATTATCGGTGTTGACCAAACCACACACTAGAAGATGGACCGAAATGTCATCGTTTTTTCGTCTTCTAGTGTGTGGTTTGGTCAACATTCTTCAGCCACATTATTGTAACTCTTCATCTGCACATGTATTATCAGTGTTAAGGGTAAGTTTGTTAGTTGTAACCCACATACAGTATACACTTTTTAGTTCAGTGTTTATTGCATCATTTAAGATGTTTGGTTTTGAAGATAAGTAGATGAAAATTGTCATTAACAAATAATACAGGCAGTCCTTAGTTTGTATAAAAAATACAGTCCTACAATTGCCATGCAAATCAAAAGTTAAAGTACAGTATAACATATAGAAAATATAGGGTTAGGCTCCGAAGAAAACACAAGAAAACATCAGTTCTAATAATAACATTTAATTCTGCTCTTTCTAGCCTTTATGGGGTCTTGCAGTACAGTTGGCTTCATTCTCAACTAGCAATCAGGGATCCTGGGTTCGATTCCTGGGTAGGACAAACAGTTGGACACAACTCCTTTCAACTAATGTGTGTGTTCGTCTAGCAGTAAAGTGATACTGGAAGTTAGGCAACTATTGTGTGGTTACATACTGGGGAGAACATCAATACAAGCTTGAAGTATATATGAGCAGCTTTCCTGTCCCCAACAAAGCAAATTACAATATTACTTATTAAAGACCAGGAAAATTAAATGAAGTCGAGAATGTATGGGATTCACAATGATGAACAAATTTAACCCTAAAAGTGTACACAATCTTTTTTAGATAAATATATTTACCTGAGGGCCATTAACACTCAAGTAGCCTCGATGAAGACAGGAAGCCGGCAGCTCATGAAAGGTTCCCCTATTTACTCTGATGATTTTTTATACTGTACATTTATTTATATTAACAGATAAAGTACAGTGCATTATTTATCTGTATACAGTATATATTTGTACAATTATCTTTTATGATTATGTTTAAAACACAACTAAAAATGTCATACAATTGAAAGAAAGTTAAAATTTCACTTTTTAGTAGACGAAAAATTCGTCAGCAGCTGCGGCGGGAGAAACGCATAAATGATAGGGAGAACCGCAAAAGAAACCGATTAAACAGGTAAGACCTATTCCAATAAGTTGTATGATATAACCATTGTGCCAATATAGATATGTATTCAAAGATACTAAAACAAAATCAAAACAAATTAGAACTATAGTTTTTGCATAAAATATATACATGCATTACTAAGGTACTATGTATGCTTGCTTTACTAAGGTACTATGTATGCTTGCTTTACTAATGTACTATGTATGCTTGCTTTACTAAGGTACTATGTATGCTTGCTTTACTAAGGTACTATGTATGCTTGCTTTACTAAGGTACTATGTATGCTTGCTTTACTAAGGTACTATGTATGCTTGCTTTACTTAGATACTATGTATGCATGCTTTACTAAGATACTATGTATGCATGCTTTACTAAAGTAGTAGCTTTGGGTGCTCTACCATCCTTAATAAGAGTGCTGTACTACTTTAATATTGCTACACCTGCCTTAACATTGGTGTACCTGCCTTAATAGTACTGTACCTTACTAATGCTGTACCTGCATCAATAGAGGCCTGTACCTGCATTAATAGATGGCTGTACCTTCTTTACTACAGTATTTGAAAATTCAAGATCTTTGCCCCATGACCTGTAGGCCTACAGTATATTCATTATTCACAGTTTAATGACAAGATCTTTCGTGGTGGTGTCTGGCTAATACATGTATGTAGTTTGATGTGAAAATATTGTTTAAATTGAATTTAGCGTAACTATTAACAAGTATTGAACAAAGTTATGAAAGTTGAAGACAAGACATCTCTTCATAAATAATTGAGTTCTTATCAAAGTGCCTTATCATTCTTATCAAGTTAAATAATCATTTGAAAGATTTTAGTTTAATGCACACAATATTGCATTTGGGTTTATGTATCGTGTCACAACTCTTATATTTTCTTACATGTGTTCTTGTTTTTTTCTCTGGTCATTCCTTATTTGTTATTGAATTTATGACTAAGATAATTTAATATATTCCCAATCATTTTTGTAATTTAACCTTTTAACTTCAACAATCAGTGAAATTTTTTCTTTTAGACAACATGGTCGACTTGCAAAGAATAATTGGAAGAAGTTCCCAAAGCACCGGAGAAACAAAAATCGCCAGAACCACCTCAATAGTAAGTCATCATAGTAGCTGTTTAGACTGAAAGAGTATTTAATGCCAATTACTCCTTGGCTAAAACATTAAATTAGTCATTATACAATGGGGCTTGTCTCCAGATCACTTTGATGAGCACATAAACATAAATCTACTGTAGTATATAGTCTTTGATGAATCAAATGCACTTTTTCATCCCTAGAGCACCATCATCCTTTAATATTTTTATATAGTGTAAGTTGTTGAATGTTTTCTCAGATAAGTTGTGATTTATGTTAATGAAATCTTGTCTGTTACATCTCCAGCCACTTACTTGAAAAAATTAAAGTTGATCCTTTCATCAAATATATGATGTGATGAGGATAAATTGGTGTTCTGATGTTCTGCTATATGATAAATCGTCTGAGTAATTTGGGCACTATCATGCCTGACATTTAAAGGTTGAGTGCATCTGAAAATACTGTTATTAATATCAGTAGTATAATGTGTCTACCATACAGTAGTAGTAGTAGTAGTAGTAGTATAAAGCTCACCAAACTCTTGGAATAATCAAGTGTACTTTTGACTATAAGGAAAAGAAGGTAATGGTTCAACTGTATAAATCACTGGTGCGCTCCCATTTGATTACTGTATCCAAGCATGGAGACCTAATTTTCAGAATAACATAGCTGCTCTGGAGAAGGTGCAACACTGGGCAACAAAAGTCATTCCAGAGCTAAGTCATCTTTCGTATCAGGAATACTTGAAGGCCACAGGGCTAACAACACTGCAAACCAGGCATGACAAGGTAGATTTCATTGAAACTTTTAAAATACTGAACAAGTTAGAGGATGTTGATCCGGATATTTTCCTCAGAAGGTCAGATGTAACACAAACAAGGAGCAACGATTTCAAGCTCAACAAGCCAAAGTGTAGGACTGAGAGAATTATCAGGGGAAAGCACCAAGCCATTACGACTACAGTATATAGCACTTGGAGGGGGTCACGATTTAGGATGGGACGGGGGAAAGGAATGGTGCCCAACCACTCGGTTACGATTGAACTCTAACTTACATGAAGTAAGACTGTCGCTTCATGCAGACCCACACGGATATTACCCCATGGAACCTCCCACCTGCCGAAGCTGTAACTGTCAAAACTACGCTGTTTCAAAATACTGTATTGTATAATGTACTACTGATACCTGATTTTTACCTGAGGGCCACTAACCCTAGTGGCCTCAACGAGAACAGGAAGCTGGTGACTTGCCAAAGGTCCCCCCATTTGCCTTGATGATCTTTTCCAGGTATACAGTATGACGATACAGTGGCCCCTCCGTTTACAAATTTAATCCATTCCTAGAGACGTTTCGTAACCCGAAAATTCGCAACCCAAAACAAATTTTCCCATTAGAAGTAATGTAAATTGAATTAACCTGTTCCACACTCTCAAAAATATTAACTTCAAAATATCAAAATACATTTCATACCTAATTCACATAAATATTTAGTACTATAGCATGTAAAAGTTATAGATTACCTTTATTGACGACTCTTGTTGGTGTATGGAAGACAGTGAGGAGTGGGGGAGGAGGAGAGCTGTTAGTGTTTGGAAAGGGGGAAACAACCATTATAACATCAGGTAGTGATGACTTCTCTGGGGTACACTCTCTGGTACATTTTGCCTGCATACCACTAGAACCTGCTTGTGGCTCACTGCTTGTTTTTCTCACTAGAAACTGTTCCATTTAGATTTGTTTTTTTCCTATGTTGTAACACTTGTTTGTAGTGAGGCATCACAGTGTCATTAAAAAGGCTAAGGCAATAGCCACTACAGCTTGCTCTGGGTGAGTCGTTTCAACAAAAGTTTGCATTTCTTCCCATAGTCTACACCACTTCTTAATTGTTGAGGAAGGGACATTCTGTACCGTTTTTCCCCCTTCCCTGAAGAAATTTCCTCAGCTGCCTCTTGTTGCTGCTCCTTATGAAGGGCTAGGAGTTCTTCAGTGATCAGTTCTTCGCTGTGTTCCTCCACCAAATCACACACACAACACTCACAACACTGTGAATGCCACTTCTTTTTCTAAATTTATCAAACCATCCCCTGCTCGCTTTAAACTCTTTCTTATCTGCATCACTTGTTCCAGGGGTTTTCTTTATAAGATCTTCATGCAGTAGCCTTGCTTTTTCACAAATGATGGCCTCTGAAACACTATCACCTGCTAACTTCTTCGTGTGTATCCAAATTAATAAAATCTTTTCAACATCCTCAAGTGTTTGTGCTCTTTGTTTCGTGATTTTTTTATACACTCTTGCCACTTTAGCACTCATAATGTCTCCTTTTCTTAGCAATTACAATGCATATAATTGACATAGATGTGTTGTACTGCCTAGCTAGTTCAACAACCCGTGTACCATTTTCATGTTTACGAATGAACTCTTGTTTTTGCTCTACGTTCATCTTCACATATGCTTTCTTAGGTTGAACCTTACCACTAATGTTCTTGGGACCCATGGTGTGATACATAATAATTACTTTTATGTTTAAAACCCAAAAAAGTCCAAAAAAAATGAAATTCTTTACAAATAAATCAAACGCGATCGTCACTAACCGGGAGGCATTGGTAAACTGAAGCATGGGCGACCGTGCCACCAGGAACCACATGTTAGGTCACCCACATAAGTATCAACAAACTATGCTACTCGAGGCAAAGCTCGTAACCCAATTCACATTTTACGAAGAAATTGGGCTCGTAACCCAAAAAGTTCATAAATAGGGGCATTCGTTAGCTGAGATGTCACTGTACAAATTTAAAAATTTGTTTACTTTTGTAAAAGCAGCCATATCATATTCAGACTGACTGATAATCTGCAAAACTTCTTTTGACTAAACACTGGCAGCCTGTCCTTAAATGTTTGGTATATTCCAACCACACTGTACATAAATACAATTTGGAATTCGGTCGGCCGAGCAGACAGCACACTGGACTTGTAATCCTGTGGTCCTGGGTTCAATCCCAGGCGCTGGCGAGAAACAATGGGCAGAGTTTCTTTCACTGTATCCCCCTGTTACCTAGCAGTATAATAGGTACCTGGGTGTTAGTCAGCTGTCACAGGCTGCTTCCTGGGGGTGGAGGCCTGGTCGAGGACCGGGCCGCGGGGGACACTAAAGCCCCGAAATCATCTCAAGATAACCTAAAGATAATTAAATGGTATTCACTAATACTAAAACCAACAGCACCAGTTGACTGCCATCCCTTGCCTTTATCATTATATACATAATATCATCCCATTTAGAATTTTAAAAAATTAATATACTGCGGTTACACTAATAACAAATAACAATATATTTATTTTTATTTTATTTACTCACATTAGTGGCAAGTAACGGCATACTTTATCCTTTGGTTTTACATTTACTTTTGGCATGTACAGTAACTTATAATAAATTTTCACCAGACAAATAACATTTCTGGCCTGGTTTATTCTGCCAGTACCTAAGATATGAACCTCTATATTCATTGGAAAGGGTCATGTATAGTTTGTCTGAACAATATACTTCTCTGGTGACATAGGGAGCATTTCAGATATTCAATATGGCCATATAAGGTGCTTGGGAGTCACCAGAGAACACTCAGTCTAGCCAAGATTGACCAATAGAGGTCTGATAAGTTTATTTATAACCATTTGTGTCTCCTCATCTACTCTGAAGGTAGAGGACGAAAGGCTCATAGACCTGCTACTGGGAGGCACATCTAACCAAAGTGAGGTGGAAGATAACTCTAGCAATGGGGAAGAAAACCATGATGTGGAGAGTAGCACTGTGCCAGGAAATGCAGTACAAGAAACAGCAAGGTCCCGCAGAAAGAACAGAAGGCAGCAGAGAAAGGAGAGACGTAGAGAAAAAAGTTAGCCTTTATCTTTTATATGCAAATTATTGATTGCTTGATACTCAACCCACACATCTGAAAATGAAGAAAGGATGACATTTCAGTCCATCCTGGATCATTATCAAGTCATGTATACAGTATATTACATGACTTCATAATGGTCCAGGACGAAGCAAAACATCGCTTCTTCAGTTTTAAGATGTGTGGGTTGGGTATTCAACTCTTCAGCCATGATATTGTGACTCATTGTCTCCATTGATTGCTCTTTTTTTTCTTTAACCCTTAAATTGTGCATGGCATATATATATGACAGGAGTGACATGTCCCACCATGCGCTTAGCATACATATATGATTTGCATATTTAAAATATTTAAAATAGTCCTGCACATACATAGAGCTCACATTTGCTTCCTCAGGCCACCAGTAGCCATCCCCCATCTTGAAAAAAATCCTGAGTCCCTCACTTTTGTTCTAGGGCCTTAGTAAGAAAATGATGACTATTGCTTGGCAACATCACCATCCAGTATTTGAACGTTTAGGGCAGCCATAGAGGACACACTAAACTTTTAGCAACAGCAAATGAGTGATTATCATGTAAATATTTGAGGCAAAATGTGTGCTATATGTAATTTTAAGATTTAGGCTTATAATATATATATATATATATATACATATATTATTATGAATATGTATGTGGGTGTTTGTATATCTATACTTGTATATACATACATACTTATATTTTCAAAGTTATACATAATAGACAGTACCTTTGACACAAATACAACTTGTTAGCAGGAAAAATGAAATAAATAAAGTGAGAAACAATGAAAATAAATCAACAAAGTTATTCATATGTGGCACCTCAACTTCTCCAGCCCACTACAGCTAAAGCACAAGAGCTAGAGATTTTTTAATTGGATTTTTGTGCTTCCTGAAGGCTAATTAACAATGTCAAAAGAAAAAATAATTTTTTTCTTGAGCACGCTGGGGTATATCAGTTAAAGACCCCTTAGCAGCTTAAGGGTTAAGGGTCTATAGGTGACTACATTATTACTCCAATATTAACAGTAAATTCAGCTTTTATTTTTGTAATTGTTTATATTAATTATGTTTTTATATTTTAATGTACTTTTACTGTTGCAGAGAAAATTTATCACCCAGGAGTAAAGTTTTGCTGCAAGCAGGGCGTCAAGCACAAGAAATATCAGCTTATAATCAACAGCACAGTAGAAGAAGGTGGGTAAAAGAAATATTTCATTAACTCTGAGAAGCATCGAGCAATGCATTCAGTTAAATCACTAGAGTATGCTGAATAGAGCAACACTAACTACAGTATTTTTAAAGGAAGCTAGACGAATCTCTTGATAACTTGTTGGGGGCATCTGAAATAGGCATTCCATAATTTTTTCATAAGTTGAACAAGATATTTTATCATTTTTGCAGAAGTGAAACTCTTCAGCTCTATGTAAGTTTGAAAGTGATATCATCAATTCCACAGAAGTTTAAAATATTTCATTCTGCAGATGAATTAAATATATCATAAATTCTACAGTTGTTGTTGTTGTGCATTTTTGTATATTTTACTTGAGATTTTATATTCATTATTAAATGAAATGTGATTAAATATTTTGTAAGCTCTCTAAGGAAGGCCATTACTGACATTAATAATTTTTTGAATAAGTAATGTTTCACCAACATTATTTTTAATTCATTAGAATTTAAATAACATATTCAGTCAGTTCTTAATTAGAAGTAGATTTGAAAATTTCACTGACATTCTGTTTGCAAATGAAGTGAATTATTGTAGAGACCTCAAGGAATATTTTGCTTACTTGCTAGAGGAACTCTCAAAATGACATTGTAAAGTTTTTGACTCAACCCAGCATTGGAAAGTGAGTACAGTATATATAGAGAAGGTTTAAGGATCAAGTTGTCAGTGAATTAACTGTACCTAAAAGATTATGGTACAGATACAGTATGTTTGCTTTTAAGACTATCCAGAAATTTTAAAAAATCTTTAAAATGTTTAGACAAAACTAGACACAAAGAAACACAGTACACAGTTTATTCAGTATTCTAGCATCATAAATTAAATTTTATACCTGGTAATAATAATTTATTTATAACAAAATCAGAGGATAAAACTAAAGTGGTTACTTAATAGTTACAGTGTTTGCATATTTAATTTTTATTTAATAAAGCCACTAATTATGCACAGCATTTTAGGCATAACATCAGATAACAAATATATTGATTACTACACTTTTTGTGGAGAACCCCTCCGGCTCCCCAGAGCTATACCGGGCTGATATATATATATATATATTAGACCGTGGCATCGGTCAGTTAGATTGGAGTTTTAACCAACCGGGGACCACGAGCCAGAACCTGGCCCCCCATCAAAAAGGCATGAGGAGCAATGGCCTATAGAAACCCCTATATGGTTGGAAGCATTCTGTGTCTGTCATCTACCAGGTTAGGCACCCAGAAAGGTAGGCGTCCCTAAAAAGACTACCAGGTTAAAATTGCTACCGAAAACCGAACTATCAAGCAGATCAAACAAGTATGACATTACAACTGCCGCCGCGCCACTGTCTACGCAGCTTCCCCCTCCCCGGAAGGGGAAAGGGGAAGCCCCAGACCTCTCGTGCTGGCTATCCAACCCCAGTTCTGAGGCTGATGTGTTGTGTGGTGGTCTTTCAACTCTGGCTCCTGTCTCTGAGCAGTGCTGTACCATTACAGTATTGTTTTGCTGTGTGGTGGTGTGCGAGCCAGGAGTAATTCACAGAGTACTGGGGCTGCATGCACTTAGGGCCATCTTCCCTAGGTGCCCTGGTAAGTACAGTACTGCCCTTGCAGCTTGGGGTCTCTTCCTCAGGTCATTTGGGAACTACTTCCATAGGGATATTTTACTGTTCAGTGATTGCCCGCTTTTGGAGTCAGCTAGGATTTTCATTGCCACTGTTTGACCTTGGGTAGGAGGTAGTATCATCGCTGGGACACAAGGTACCGTGTAGCTTGTTACCTATTACACAGCGGCCAGTTTTATAATAATAGTTTATTTAGGAAAAGTAGATACAGTACAGAGATGCAGAGTTACAAACATACTGTTGGATTTATAGATAGAGTTAGTACATACAATACCTAAAGCCACTAATACTCCATAGCGTTTCGGGCATGGTGTGGGGGAAAAACACTTCGACTAAAACTTAGTTTTTGTTCCTCCTAGAAATGTTGTTCTTTTGCGGGGGGGGGGGGGGGGGGGAAGGTTTCATTTTCTTTTTGTTTATTGCCTGGTGGGGATGTCTATCCTTTGGTTATTGTCCACCCTCTGTCATTCTGGTGGTCCCCCCATAGGTCCCTGTGAATGTACATGTCGCAAGGGTTCAGCTTTATTTGATCTCTCGGTACTTTGGACCAACTAGTTAACAGTAACTTGCCTGGGCTTTCTTTAACAGTCGGCCTAAGGACCCTGGAAAACCCCGTTGGGGCTCATTGGTCCAATGGATGCATCCTCTGGGTCCCATCTCGCCTTGTGCGAGTTCGAAGGTTGCTCTGTCCCCTTGTCTCAAGGTGACATTCACCGGTTTTGCCTCCGCCATGCTTCCTGTTGGGTCGGTGACACCTCGGACTCGAGTCCAGCGAGTGGTGTTCATTGTTGAACATTGAACACCCCCAGTTCAATGTGGAGACTTTTGGAGATACTTTTGGAGACTTTTGGAGATACTACTGCAGATATTTTTTTTGGGTTATATTTTGTGTTTGACCCACCTAGACTCGTCAACAATGTTTATTTATCGATTCTCTAAATAATGGCTCGAAATTAAACTGAGGTATTGCTGTTCTTTTTATACATATATTATTCAATGCACAACATACATTGATAAAGTGTTTCTTCTTTCCCTAACCCAGGAGATGTAACTCTAACCACCTGCAACAGTACAAGTGACATCGTAACAACATTTGCCAGTCACCAGTTTGCAATTGATGAAGAGAGCTGTAAATTAAATTTTGTGACCTGTTGTAACCAGTTTACACAAGCTATGTGGTAAGTGACAGCAGTATTTCAGAGTAAGCATTGAAATGTTATTTCAAGCCTCTATAATACCCACTGTCCAATGCTAACTTAACAAGTCTCAACTGGTAATCACAACTTTATAGTAATCTTACCAACCCATTGTACCTTCTTGCAAATAAACTATTATTACTGTATTATTATTATTATTATTATTATTATTATTATTATTATTATTATTATTATTATTATTATTATTACTATTATTATTATTATTGTTATTCTTATTATTATTAACTACAAGGTTAATTAATCCATGGCTTACTAAGGGTATACTTAAATCTATTCATAAAAGACATGACCATGAGAGGAGGTATAGGTTAGGAGTCATCTCCAAAGATGTTTTGATTAGATACTCAGCAATGCATTTAGTTTAGTTAATTTATTATGCACCCCATACCCATTTTGTGGGTGGTAGTGGAAAGGGTTACAGAGGCATAATGGGCTCAGGGACTGAACCCCCACAATTCATTTAATGCAATTACAATGTAATTCTTTTGTCATTTTTCTTGGTAAATTGGATCATGATAGTCACATTGCTGAAATGCTGTAATAATAATTAAATTAAATTAAATTAAATTAAATTAAATTAAATTAAATTAAAATTAAATTAAATTAAAATTAAATTAAATTAAATTAAATTAAACTAAATGTTTTATTCAGGAAAAGTACATACATAGATGAAGAGTTACAAACATAATGTTGGATTTAAAGACAGAGCTGGTACATACAATACCTAAAGCCACTAATACGCATAGTGTTTCAGGCAAATAATTATAATAATAATTATTATTATTATTATTTAATAATCATAATAAATAATAATACTTTAATAATTATAATACTTTAATTATCATAATAATTTAATAATAACAATATTTTAATAATAATAATAATAATTTGTTTTGTCATTGGATAGGCAGCCATTGTACTGTATTAATATATACATAAGCTTATATCAGACACGACCAAAGTTAATAATTAAAAACAAACACTTAGCATTAAAGGAACACAAAGCTGTAATGCATTCCAGAAGTTTTAAGGTGACGACCAGTTCCTGTTTAATGTTGGCAAATAATACTTCTAGAACATAACTCATCATGTTTCTTTGCACAAAAATATATTAACCATCATTAACTAATGGTCATGGGTTCGATTCCTACACAGGACAAGATGTTTGGGCATGTTTTATTGCACCTAATTCATTTATTTATTTATTTATTTATGCATATACAAGAATGTACATAAGGAATGTGAGGATACAATTATGGTAATTACAGTCTTGTAAAGCCACTAGCACGCGCAGCGTTTCGGGCAGGTCCTTAATCTAAAAAAATTTTAAGGAGGTGAATACTTGCAAAATTTATAGACAAAAAAATGATAACAGATTACATGGAATGAAAAAAAAAAAGATGAGAGAAAATTATAGGTACAGTATATCAAAGCACATAGGTAGCTATGATTGATTGCAATGACAGCTTGAATGGTAGTTGACAAAAATTGGTAGTCACACATTCATGTGTTTACCTAGCAGTAAATAGATACAGTAACTGTTAGTTAGGCAAGTGTTTATATCCTGGAGAAGATCAGTTGTTAATCTAGGAAGAGGGACCTTGATAAGCCTAATTGACTTTGTGTCTTTGATAATGGAAAACCATTAAGGCCAAAAACTATAGACCAGTCATACCAACATCTCACACAATTAAAGTTTTTGAAAGAGTGATTAGGAATCAAATCTCCATTTTTAAGGAGAACAATGAACTTTACAACACTGGTCAACATGGATTCAGAGTGGGAAGATCCTGACTTGCAATTGCTTTATGTAAGGATACCTGTGTTATTACTGTATATTGTATTGCAAAACAAACAGATATGCAATTTTTCCTTAATTCTATTATATAAATCCTTATTTATTTTAGGGATGCTGTTAAAAATGGAAAACAAGCACGCAGGATACAACGAAAGGAACGCCAGAAGGAGCGCCGCCAGCAGCGGAAGCAGCAGCGGAAGCAGCAGCGGAAAGCACAACGGAAAGAAATAAGAAAGCTACGCAAAGAACGGAGGAGACAAAATCATTGGCATGATGAGGATGAAAATGAAGTGCAGGATGATGTTGAAATAACAACCATGAGTAACAGTCTGTAAAATACTTCAAAGGAAGCCTAATAAGCATAGAGGGGGGACTTACCAACATATTGTAGATATCAATGCTGCATCAGAAATATATTTTATTAGATGATATTCCCAGCAACAATATTTTCTAATGTAAGAAGAGCATATGTAAAGAGATATTTTTACACTCTGACATAGGTTAATAATACACAAGTTTATTAATAACTGTTGGTTTTCTAGGGATATATTTATAACAAAATATATTATCCCTGATACATGAGAAATGTGGCTGATATATTAGACCCAGATGTTAAAATTATTTTATTAGATTTAGCAGATTTAGAGACTTAATAAAACAGTATAGATATAGGCTATATACAGTACTTGAACAAACAAAACTGCTAGTTTGGAGAGATTAAACAGTAACACATTTACTATTTGGATATGTAGTGTATAGTACTTGAATACAGTAAGATTGGGGAGTAGAAGAACTCCCAGAACCCCATCAACCAGGTATATGTGGGCCTGTGGGCCGCTCCAAGCAACAGCCTGGTGGACCAAACTCTCACAAGTCAAGCCTGGCCTCGGGCCGGGCTTGGGGAGTAGAAGAACTCCCAGAACCCCATCAACCAGGTATATGTGGGCCTGCGGGCCGCTCCAAGCAACAGCCTGGTGGACCAAACTCTCACAAGTCAAGCCTGGCCTCGGGCCGGGCTTGGGCAGTAGAAGAACTCCCAGAACCCCATCAACCAGGTATATGTGGGCCTGCGGGCCGCTCCAAGCAACAGCCTGGTGGACCAAACTCTCACAAGTCAAGCCTGGCCTCGGGCCGGGCTTGGGGAGTAGAAGAACTCCCAGAACCCCATCAACCAGGTAAGCCAGGTAAGCCAGGATATTTGAATGTATGTACAGTATGCATGTTAGCCTTGAAAGTGAGACATGGCAACCAGCTCATATGCTGTCTAGTCAAGGGTGAGGCTGAGCTCACAAAGCCACTCAGTGCCTGCCTTGACTGATCAAGGAAACGTGCACAGTTGTCAGTTCAAAAGTTCAAATTTCCCACAGTTCTCCTTGAAAAAATAAATATGGATTTTTGGAGATAAACATTTTTAATGTTTCACATTTTCAATAAGTTGTATAAATAGAAATAATAGAACTGAGTTGCACAGATTAAATAAATTAATATAAAAAATTCGGTGTAGTGTTAAAAATAATGTTTATAATAAATCTGTCTAATCAGCAGACATCTTTCTTTTCACTTATTTTCTTTTTCTTTTTATTTTTTTGCCTATTCTTTTTAATTTATCACATTTGTTAAAAATAGACAATGTGAAATGCTCATCACATTAACAGTGAGATACAGATGACTGTTAATTAGTTATCAGGTGGTAGCTGCACCTAAGCCAGTAGTTAGTTACTACAGATATATATACTGTATATATATATATATACATATATATACATATATATACATATATATACATATATATACATACAGTATACTGTATATATATATTGTATACAGTAATCAAGCCCCCCCTTCCTTTGTATCATTACCATATTTTTGTTATAAGCCATTCATTTAGTGTGGAGTATTGGTGCATCAGAAAACATTTCATAATCCTTGTAATAAAAGTATCTGGTTATAGGATTGTTTTCTTCACCTATTTTAACTAATAATTGTACCTGCATGTTAATTTATGAGGAAAACTATGAAAAGTTTAGTCAGAAAATACTACAGAATGATACCTACATGTTCTCATAAATTATTTAATAATGGAGATTAATGTGGTGAAAGTAGATACAAAGGGATCGTGTTTAGTTTCTTCAAGAGTGTATCAGTTAGTAGAAAAGGCGCTAATCACTGCAGCACAATGATTCGTGCAGTCAGCTCACAACCACTTGGTCGTGGGATTTGATTCCTGGGCAGGATGAAATGTTTGGGCATGATTCCATAAACTCGATACCTCTGTATCTGAGAGACAAGTCATCGGTTGTGAGTTAAATCCTGTGGAATGGCCAGTTGACAGAAAAAGCAAAGAGATAAGAGACGAGATTAATGCATACCCAATCTAAGAAGTCGTTTTGAGGTAACCACCAAAATCCAAACCTTTTATAAGGAATACAATACCTCTAAATAATAATGCAGCAATATAATATTTTGTTTATTATAAAAAAAATTACATAGATACAATTAAAGTACTGTATAAATTAGATCTTTATGTTTTAACTATTTCTGCTATTCTTTAGCTTTTAGTGGCAAACTGTTGAACTTGTTTTGTTATTTGCCCAAAATGCTGAACGTGTTCTTTTTTTATTTGTTTATTTATATATACAAGAATTGTAACATACTTGTACAGCCATTAGCATGCATCGCATTTCCTAATTTTCCTTGGAATACAACCCGCCAAGTCGTTTAACAACCAGGTACCCATTCACTGCTGGGTGAACAGAGGCACAGTTAAGGACTGGCACCAGGTAAATCCTCCCTGGCCAGGATACGAACCCAGGCCAAAGCGCTCACGAAGTGCCAGGCGAGTGTTTTACCACTGCCCCACAAGAGATTGTTAATGGCTTTGCAAAAATGTAAGAACTCTTGTATAAAATAAATGCCCAGTAATTAAATAAATTAAAAAACAAAAAAAAATCCAATGTTTATTCAGGTAAAGTACATACATACAAGGTGTGAAACAAATATTGACGAATTTATAGAATTTATGAATATAAAAAAAATACTCTGAGGGAAAGCAGTCTTGAAGCCCCAGGGAAGACAACTCTGAAAGCACAGGGGTACTTACAGAGTGCATAGGGAAGATAACCCAGAGTACAAGCAGCTCCAGTATACAAAACTCCTGGCTCACGTACACCTCAGTGTAGAAACACCGCCTCAAGGGTGAAAACACCAAGGAAAACAGGAAACCGGAGTCAGAGCGACACTGACACTACATTAGTAAAGAACTGACCAGTGTATAACATAGTCTATATATTTGCATGAATTTACCTTAGGGCAACTAACAATCTAGTGGCCTTGATAAGGACAGGAAGCCAGCAGCTTGTCAAATTTCCTCCCATTTTGTCCTGATGCTTTTTTGGCATATATGGCATTGGTGGGTTGTGGCTTGTTGAAAAACCGGTACTCCTTATCTGCATTACATCTGACATTTTGAAGAAGCTATCCGAATCAACATCCTCCAAATTATTCGGTATTTTGAATGTTTCAATAAGATTAGACCTATCATGTCTGGTTTGTAGTGCTGTTAGCCCTGTGGCCCTGAACGTATCCTGGTATGAGAGTTGACTTAGTTCTAGAAATATTTGTGTTGCCCGATGTTGAACTTTCTGCAGTGAAGCTGTCTTTCTGAAGATAAAATATAAATAAATAAATAAATAAATATGTTTATTCAGGTAAGGTACATACATACAAGTGATGTTACATTAATGGATTGATATAAGTGATTATATAAGTAATATAAGAGAAGTGATAAGTCAATCACATACAAGTGATTGAAGATAAGGTCTCCATGCCTAAATGCAATAATCCAGGTGGGGGAGCACACCAGAGATTTATACAATTGAATGACTACCTTTACCTTCTTTTCCTTACTTGATTATTCCTAGGGTTTGGTTAGCTTTTTTTTACTGCTCCTCCCACTTGTTGTGCAACTTTCAGTGAATGATGGACTCTGACTCCGAGGTCCTTTTCTTCATCAATCTGCTGCAAGGTAAGGCTGTTATTTGGTATTTATGATGTGGATTATTATGCCTCACATGCAAGGTTTTTCATTTAACAATATTAAAAAAACATTTGCAGTCTTCTGACCATTTGCAGAGTTCATGTAAACCTTTGTAAGGTCTCAATATAATTTTCACTACATATTTTCAACCTTTCCTCTGAATAGAGAGTACATTCTAATACTAAATGTAATAAGTACATTCCTAACTGCATAGGACATAAAGACACTTAAAGGTGCTGTTACATCTACTCCCCATATATTCTCATTTTCTGTTAATACACTCAATTTTTTTTTTTTTTAAATAAATGTTTATTCAGGCAAGGTACATATATACAAGAGATTTTTAAAAAATTGATAGATTTATAGATAGAGCTAGTACATACAAATATTATCAAAATATTTAGATAATTATTCAGGTAGTGTGAAAGTGGGTTTGGTGTCTCATGGTAATCACTTTACCATCAGAAGGTGGGCTTGAAAAAAAAAAAACAGTATACAATACAATACAATTTTATTTAGGTAAGGTACATACATACAATAAATTTTTACAAGGATTGGTTGACTTATAGGTAGAGCTAGTACATACAATACCTAAAGCCACTATTACGCAAAGCGTTTCGGGCATGATAAACTTAAATGACAAGCTTAATACTAATTGGGCATAATGAGTAGAATGAAAACAAGAAATGAAAACATAGATGAAAAAGCAGCACAAATACAATTATGTCGACAAACAGCGTATTCCAGTATTCTTACTGGAATAATTTACTAATACTAACCAGTTAATACTAACCAGTATTCTTGGTTAGCTGTTCTTCAGGTATTGCATGCGTGACCGACAATGTACATCGATCACCCCACCATATTATAGGTTATATATCACACAGATACATATTAATCATAACCAAAACCAATTAGAGACAAATATGACACTGTGAATGTGTCTGACATAGTTAATTACAAGATTGTAATTACTATTCTATGTATCCTCACAATCCCAATATACTGTCTTGTAAATAAATAAATAAATAAATAAATAAAAAACAAACAAGCAAACAAACAAACAAACAAACAAACAAACAAACAAACAAATAAACGAATGAATGAATGAATGTCAAATATGGTGGACGTATACGAAACGATTGCCGTGTACGAAACCTTGAGGGCACGAAATAACTATTTCTAATCTAGGTGGTGGCGTGTACGAACCGTCCACACCCGCAATGACCGTCCCCGGGCCGCCGCAGGTCCCTGCTGGCTCCTGGAGAACATATTTAGGAGCTACCATAGTTACCCTTGGCTAACAGCCGTGCCCGGGGCCAGATTAACCAGCCGTGGGGTGCCCGGTGAGGTTATAAGAGCGTGCCAGAGCCCGGGGGAGCCCACTTGAGCCGTGAGGAGAGGAAGTATGTGAGGGAGAGATCAGCCCAGTCACTGCACAACACAAAAATGGTTAGAAATCTTACTTTCTTAAGCCATTACTTGGATTTAAGGACGTGGTGATGATTCCCCGGGTAGTTGAGCAACATTGGGGTGTCAGTGACACGTTAATGGCCGAGTGAGGGCGAGTGACATTTGTTAATTAGCGAGGGAGTGAAAGTTATGGAGCGAGGCGGCCTGGCCTTCACTCTATTAATATAATACTCTGGGGTTGGGTATTTGTGGGTCTGGCGGGGTTTTTGTGGGTCATAATTTAGAGGGTTTGGCGTGTGAGTTAGTGCCCCGCGGTGGGTACGGGTTGTCACGTGCCCCGGTGCCCGCGGCTGGGTACTGGGGGGGCGGTTGGCGGTGGTCGAGCTATTTAATAATTTATTTAATAATAATAATAATAATAATAATAATAGATGTTTATTCAGGTTAAATACATACATACAAGAGGTTTTATAAAAATTGATGGATTTATAGATAGAGCTGGTACATACAATGCCTAAAGCCACTAATACGCAAAGCGTTTCAGGCAGGAAAAACATTAAAAGACTAAAACTTAATACTAATTGAGATTAAAGTATAAATTTATTTATTTATTTATTTATATACAAGAAGGTACATTGGGTTTGTGAGAATACATAGCATAGTATTTACAATCTTGTAAAGCCACTAGTACGCGCAGCGTTTCGGGCAGTTTTAATGTTATAATGTTTTATTTATGCAAAGGTACATGTATATGATACATGAATAGTGGAGACTTTAGAGACAAGTATAATACATAAAGTTATTAATGTGCTACACAGAGCATTTTGGGCACTAATTGAGGTGTTTATCATAAACTTGTAGTTGTCTTCCATGCATCATTGGAGAGGTCAGGTAAGGAAATTATCAGAAGAAAGCACTAAGCTGATACGACTATATAGCACTAAGAAGGGGTCAGGATAAGGATTTGGGATGGGACGGGGGAAAAGGAATGGTGCCCCAACCACTTGTGGACAGTCGGGGATTGAACGCCGACCTGCATGAAGCGAGACCGTCGCTCTACCGTCCAGCCCAAGTGGACCATGTCAGAGAATGTGCAGTGCCTTCTAAAGAATTAATTTGATAATAAAAATCTGAAGGATTTCATAAATGATTTCATAATTATGTTCATAAAGAATATATTTCATAAATGGGCCCAGCCCTATATAGCAAAGATTACTGTTTCTGTAGATTAAATTTTGTTTACAGATTGTCTACTTACAGATTGTCCACTACTTGAAGAATTTTGTAGTAAATATTTTACCATGTTTATATAAGGGACATGTATGTGTTAATGAATCTAACAAAATCTTTTCTTCCATAGGGGCTCGTCTGGCTGAAAAAGATCTTGGAGTCTCAATACAAAGTAAATATGTAACTTGTAACTTCCTAACTCCTTACTCTCGTCTGTAGTCATCTCCCACTAATCCCTCTGATGTTACTCTACTACAATAATACACACAAATAAAGTAATCAAATAGAACTGCCAAACCAGTGGTTATCTTAAGATGATTTTGGGGCTTTTTAGTGTCCCTGCGGCCCGGTTCTCGACCAGGCCTCCACCCCCAGGAAGCAGCCCGTGACAGCTGACTAACACCCAGGTACCTATTTTACTGCTAGGTAACAGGGGCATAGGGTGAAAGAAACTCTGCCCATTGTTTCTCGCCGGCGTCTGGGATCGAACCCAGGACCACAGGATCACAAGTTCAGTGTGCTGTCCACTTGGCCGACCGGCTCCCTTAGGCACAGTGGTCAGCACAGTCAGTTGACAATCAAAAGGTCCCCTGGATTCGATTACCATACAGGGTGGGAGACATTTTTGGCATGTTTCCTTACACCTAATAATGCCTGTTCAACTGTTCTGTTCATCTGTTCACCTAGCTGTTAATAGGTACTTGGGGCATTAAGCAACTATTGGATCCTTAGAAAGGTTAAGGCCTAGGGGAGCTCAATATGCCTAACTAACTTCATGTCCCTCAACAATGGGAAAGCATAAAAAGTGAATAATTCCTCAAAACTTTGGACATTGGTAAACTGAGCTAGGGTAACTCCAAGTGGTAATGGTAAGCCCACATGTAAATTAACTACAAAACTATATATTGTCTAACATTACTGCAGTAATATTTTAAACAAATTATCTACACCATATGTATTTTTAAAGCTAAACAGTACTGTATATACTGTATAAGTCCCACGTAACTGCCATTTATATGTTCAAAGGATATTTTATGAAACTTTTAAGGTATAACTTTAAACAGCACATTACTTCTATGTTACAATGATATCGATACATAATGAATTATTTAAAGAAATATAAAATAGTGTTAAATTATGTAAAATTTACTTTTTATATTCATTAGTTTTTCATTGTCATTAATAACTTAAAATTTTATGGATATTACTTTTATTTTATCAAAAATATTTGAAAACAAGATTTAATTGTTCCTCCTTTTATATGTAGATGGACTTGTTAATGGTGGGTGTGGCCTTGGTTCATCTTATTGCTGCACCATACACCAAAGTGGAAGAGAGTTTCAACCTCCAAGCTTGCCATGACTTGCTTTACAATGGCATTCATCTGCAAGAGGTAATATGTGATAAAGTTTACATTTTGGTAAAGAATAGATTCCCAGCTTAGTTAAGATATGTAAGTACTGTAGATGCACACACTCTTGAACTTGTGTGCACATTAATATGGGCGTATATATAACTCTACACACACACACACATTGTAGATATGCATGTTATTGTGATCCAGCATCATATGGGGAAGTGTAAAAATTTAAATTGTTATTCTCAAGGTTGTCACATTCCACCTTATAACAGCAATATACATACAAAATGTTTGACCCAGTTAAAGCATGCTTAGAAACAGACTGCATGGAATTTAACCTTTCTCATGGCACCCAGTGTTTGGGTCTTATTGTGCTCCATTGCAAATAGTTCTCTAAACATTTGTCAGTCTTGGTTACAGATATTTGCAAGACATTGCTGTGACTTATGGATGAATCTGGAACAAGGTTGCTTGATGTCATATTGGACCTTTACTATCAAGCTGGTCTCAGTCCTTGCCGGTTGTTTTATGAGGGGACGTCTGTCAACTTTTCAGTAGGCTTGGACAGTGGCTGCCTCGGTGTCTAAGGTGATCTCTGAAGGATATTCTTGTACATGATTTCAAGAATACGTAGTCCTGGGCAGCTATGTACTCTCCAATTCATGCCAACATTTGAGAAATGATGGACAGAGGCTTGATTTGTCCCCATTTGAGGGTGGCATTGGTTGATTCTTGGTCTGTCAGGGATCACTGCTTCACCTGCCATTCTCTTCCCTTCATTGGTGAATCTACTCTCCATATATTATTTGTTTGAAATCCAGTTGTTCCTTAAGTAAAACTTTTAAATCTAAGCCAGGAAATAATGGTAGTGTATTGGTAAGTTATGATCTGGCTTGAGGTGGCCAAGTGGGGGATTTTAAAATATTGTATGTTTCATTACAGCACTTCCAAAACCAAACATGGCACTTGGCAATAGATCAGATCTTTTTCCTTTTTTTTAATGTGTAGTTTTAAATGCTACAATTTAAACAACCTCACATGGCCTTAATCAGATTCTTAATCCAAAAATTATTCCAAAGAGCTTGGCTGTCTTAATAGTGACAGCCAGTATTTTACGGTAAGCAGCTGGCCACTGTCTGTAATAAGTACTTGTACTCAGGTTTAACACTGCTCACATCTGTGGGTAGAGTGCTCTGGGTGCCACTTACCTGATTTAACACTCAAAAAAAAAAAAACCACTCAAAAAAACAAAGAAATTATTATCATTGGCAATAGGAGAGTTAGATTAAATTTCTCCCCCTCTAAGCATGTTAAAACATCACCTTACTCTGTCTTTTTGTTTACAGATATGTTAATAACAGATGCTCTGTTGATTGTTGCTTGACCCCTCCCTAGCAATTTAAAGTGTACCAGTGCTGCCGTACCAATACTAAAGGCAGAGCCTCTGCACATTATACATCTTGCATGTCATAATTTCAAAGTACATACAAACAAGGCTCTAATTAGTTACATATGCAGTATGTACCACATAATTTAAATAATTATAATTCATTAGATAATTCAGAACTTATAATATGTGTGCTTTTTCTTTTCTAGTATGACCACCTGGAGTTCCCAGGGGTGGTGCCACGAACATTCGTTGGTCCCATAGTGGTATCAACTCTTGCCTACCCAGCTGTAGCTGTCGTCCAGTTTCTTGGACTCTCAAAATTCATTGCTCAGTACATTGGTAGGTGGTGAGCTTCAGTTTGAAAAAATATGTGTATATAATGTGTTCAATATGGTATATATATATATATATCTGTATACATATGCTGTTTTTATTTGTATATTAATGTGAGAGAGTAGTGAGATTAATGAATGTGTGTAATTACCTGTATAGTTGCAGTATGAGAGCTATGCTCATGGTGTTCCATCCTCCCAGTATTTTATTTATTTTTATTTATTTATGCATATACAAGAATGTACATAAGGAATGTGAGGATACAAATATGGTAATTACAGTCTTGTAAAGCCACTAGCACGCGCAGCGTTTCGGGCAGGTCCTTAATCTAAGAAAAAGGTCCTTAATCTAAGAAATTTTTATGTATTTAAGTACTTTGTCATATGCTGCTTTGAAAGTACTGACAGCTTTGGCATCCACCATCATCTCACTTAACTTGTTCCAACCGTCTATTACTGTTTGCAAAAGAGAACATTGTAGTATTTTTTGTGGTATCTTTGCTTTCTTTCGCTTTGAATTTATAACCTCCTTGTTTTTGAAGTTGCAATTTTCAAGAATTCATCTGAAATTTCATTTTGGCAGTTTGTGCTACCACAGTATTTTGTATGTGGTGCTAAAATAGCTTTTTCTACTATTTTCCAGCTTTGGCAAATTTAACACCTCTAGCCTCTTCTCGTAGCTCTTATTTTTCTGATCCTGAAACATTTTGTAGCATGTCTTAGTACTTTTTCCAGTTTATTGATGTGCTTCTTAAGATATAGGCACCATACAATTGCTGCATATTTAAATTTTGGTCTCACGAAAGTTGTGAACAATTTCTTTAGTATTTCACTATTCATGTATTTAAGCGATTCTGCAGTTGGAAAGTGCTGCATAGACTCTCCGCACAATTCCTTTATGTAGTCCTTGGGTGACAGTTTACTAACCAGAACCACCCAAGATCTTTCATTGTTAGAGTTCTTTAAATCCTTTTCACATAATTTGTAGGTTGTGTGTATGTGGGGCTTATTCCCTCCTACTCCATATTCCATAATGTGCCAGTTATTCACAACAAATTCCATCTGCCAAGTGCTGTTCCATGCACTTATTTTGTCCAGATCATCTTGAGATGATTTCGGGGCTTAAGTGTCCCCATGGCCCGGTCCTCGACCAGGCCACCACCCCCAGGAAGCAGCCCATAACAGCCGACTAACTCCCAGGTACCTATTTACTGCTAGGTAACAGGAGCATCAGGGTGAAAGAAACTCCTCCCATTGTTTCTAGCCGGCGCCCGGGATTGAACCCGGGACCACAGGATCACGTGTCCAGTGTTCTGTCCACTCAGCCACCAGGTCCCCGATGTAAGTCTCTTATCTTTCCTAGTAGCTTAGCATTTTGTGCCTGCCATCTGGTAGCTGTCAGGCACATCTCGGTCAGGAAATGTACCCTGCAGCAATAACTTCTTGCCCTGTTTACTGAGGAGAGCTTAATTCCTTCAAGTAAATGCACGTGTTATCATGGCTATGCTCTCTGGTGGGTTTCCCCTAGTCTTGTGGTTGAAATCTCATCCCTTGCTACCCATACCTCACAGAGTAAACGAGATTCTGGTCCCAGTAGGTGACAGTAGGGCCTTGAAGACTTAGGGTGTTGCACTAAGGCTCAAGCTCTGGGAGTCTCTGTTGTTAGTCTCTTTGAGTCTCTCAATTAGTTAGGTAGATTTCATATCTCAAGCAAAATAACTTTTACAGTGCGAGGTGTGCTGGGCCTTCTGGTTATCCTGGCATGGCGAAGACTCTGCAAGCAATTACAGGAGAGTTTTGGGAAGCCCCTCACATTCTGGTTCACACTCATCACAGTCTCCCAGTTCCACTTTATGTACTATCTGAGTCGACCGCTACCAAATACGTTTGCACTTGTTGTTGGTAAGATTTTTAATTTTATTACTTTTTTTATTAATGAATATTACTGTTATACTGTTTATAAAAGTCAATAAAGTAGTAAAGTGGAATACAAGGCATCTTCTAATGCAAAGTCTCTTGCATTACAATGTATTTATTATATAAATTATTTTTCAGCTCTGCTTGCAATCTCTTATTGGTTGGAGCAACGACATCATCCGCTCATATGGACATGTGGAATTGCAGTGCTGATATTCCGGTCTGAATTATGTCTTTTCTTGGGTCCAATGTTGTTGGCTGACCTCATGACTCGTAGATTACAGATTCTACCGTGAGTCAAGACGATTTTTGTTTTGTCTTAATAAGTTATTAATAACCAATTTGACCAAAACCAAGGTGCTATGACACCTTGGTTTTGGTCTCTTTCCCAGCTTGGGTAAAAAAAATCTTGCTTAAAATAATAATGTTAAATATTTGTATTTTGTATTAAATTTATATAAAAAAAAGACCATATTCCAGCTATACCTTAACCAAACATTTCCATAAAAAAGGCTATCTCCTGTCTTTGTAATTTCACTGCAATGTTTTTTATATTTATATATATATATATGTAATATAGAATCATGGTTTCAAAAGTAAAAAAAAGGTGATGCACCTCAGTTTGTATTCATTATTTTTCTGATGTGAAAATTCTCTTAACTCTGTCACTACTCTTAACTTTGCAAGTTGGACATGCTAAACATTCATTTATAACTTGTAATCAAAATGTATAGATCTTATGGAAATTATTATGCATTACACAGAGATCACACTAACGTGATGCATCAAATGTCGTAGCTCAGTCGATTAAGGCAGTGTTTGGGATGCTCCCGGACGCAGGTTCGAATCCTCGTCACGGCCCTTGTGGATTTGTTTATTATGCACTGTTCCTAGATGTTTGGTGGTGTGTTTGTTATACACGTTGGTCACTAAACGTATTCCTGTGTTTCACTTGCCAAGACTCTACAGGAATGAAGAGATAAAGATGAAGGAATTAACATAATCATAAAGTAAAGCCGCTATCCAGTAGTTTTGTAATGAGCAAAATAGTTTCTCTGTATTGTATAGTAATAGTATTTTGCAAGAGTTATGGACACTTAAAAGCTATATAGGGGTAGAGCAAGGAGCAGATTAAGTTTGGTAAGCAAAAGATGCTTGCATTTAAAAGGAAAAGACCAAGATATCTCGGTTTTATTGGTATTGTTTTTCCTTGATTGCCAAAAACATTGCATTGGCCAAGTTGTTGTTGTTGCCACTGCTGAAAATTGTTATAAGTCCAGCCATTCATGTTTGGTTCCTCATAAACACACTATTCTCCATTAGTGACACATACGTTATAATGCATCGAGAGAGAAAAGTGTTGACGTTATGCAATAGTAGGCATCATTTAGTTTCCTAATGTTGTATATCCTTTCCTGTATTATTCCCTATTTTCCCTGAAGACATGTAGCTATATGATGTAATGTGTGTTCAACTGTCCTTTCAGTGATTTTATTTCCCTTAACAGATTTCTTCAGAGTGCTATTCCAGCTGGACTCTGCTGCCTAACAGTGACATTAGCCATTGATTCTCTCTTCTGGGGCCGCCTGCTGTGGCCAGAAGGAGAAGTTTTCTGGTTCAACACCTACAAAAACCAAAGCAGTACCTGGGGTGTATCCTTTCAACATAAGTCTGTTTAATTCCAATTATCACCTTCATTTACATATACAGTAGTTCGTCTTCCTCTTTTGTATGAAATATCATTTATAGTATCTCGTGCATTAATGGCAATTTGACGATGTTTCTTTATATAGCATCTTTCTCTTGCCATATGTACTTCTTCTTAGCTTTTCTTTCTTACTTAGAAAAGTAAGAATTACCATCCTTGTACCTGTATATCTTTTCAAAGATGCATATGTAACTGGTCATTATTACATTGATCAGCGATAGTTGTTTAAATGTCTTGCGTTTAATTACTGTACCTTCCTCCGTAATCCTTACCTTCTTTTGCAAAAAAACGAACAAAAACAAACAAACTTGTAACTAAAGCCTATAGCTTCTCAAATATGTCACATAAATCACATAATACAGGCAGCCCTTCTAATATCTTTGTTCATTTTCTTATCTACAGCACAAACAAAAGTCAATTCTACTTCAGTGTATAATATAGTGTAGACAGTTATTATTTTTAATGTTTTGCATCTTCCATTGTCTGCCTTTGAAATGAGCAGGAAGTCCGGTGTATAGAACAACTAATAGTAAGTAGCAAGGGTAAAAGGGGTAGCATGGAGATTTTGAAAGCTCAGTAGGTGGATACTATGACAACACAGCTTAGGGTTTCCCATTTCCAATTGTTGGGGACAAGAAATATAATAATAATAATAATAATAATAATAATGATAATAATATATTTACAATAAGGTACAATGGGTTGGTGAGATTACATGAGATTGATATTTTTACATTCATGCAAAGCCACTAACACACACACAGCATTTTGGGCAGGAACGCCGAAAACCAGTTTGGCCGAAAACCAGTTGGGCTTATCGAGGTCCCACTAGGCCAACAACTGATTTTTCCCAGGATGCATCCCACAAGTTGCCCAACTTCCCAGTTTGTATTTACTGGTAGGTGAACAGAAGCATCAGCAAATTAATACAAAATGACTATACATGAGGGGTGCAGGGGAGGGGGGGCAGAAGTGGAGTAGAGAGCTTTTGATCATCCAATGGTGGAAATGTAAGAGTCAAATGAAATTTTTTGTTTAAAAAGTAAGATCGTAAAATGGGGGAACTGGTGAAATATTATGAATGCCAAGATGTACCCGTTTTAAAGATTTATGAGAGACTTTTTCGCGTTACATGAGAGCTGTGTTTTGTTTGTTACCATTTGTTTAGTTGCATATAGTCTTTTTAAATATACTATTAGGAATTAAACAAAAGTTATTTGCTTGTGAGTGTGGAGGTTGCTGTAGCATCATAATTTGTTATTAAATGAAGTGTCTATTTCTAATTTCCTTAACTTTTGTCAGACATCACCATTATTGTGGTACTGGTACTCTGCATTGCCGAGGGCTTTGGGTTCAAGCTTGCTTCTGGTTCCTATAGGTGTGGCCTTGGACAAGCGGCTGCAAGTACTAATAACACCAGCTATAATTTTCATCACTGCCTACTCTTTTCTGCCCCACAAGGAACTCCGCTTTATCATATATGTTTTCCCTGTTCTCAACATTGCGGCAGCCAGAGCATGTCACTTTTTGTGAGTTCCTCAAATTATGTCAGAACTTAATACACCAGACTTGGCTTTAGGAGGTGGTTCTGCCTGCGATGGCCTTCTTTTAATATGGATCAGATAGCCTATGTTGTCTAGAACTAATATTGAGAAATATTGGTAGTTTTAGCTGCCTAGTACTAATATTGGGGAATATTGGTAGTCTATGCTGCCTAGTACTGTACTAATATTGGGGAATATTGGTAGTCTATGCTGCCTAGTACTGTACTAATATTGGGGAATATTGGTAGTCTATGCTGCCTAGTACTGTACTAATATTGGGGAATATTGGTAGTCTATGCTGCCTAGTACTGTACTAATATTGGGGAATATTGGTAGTCTATGCTGCCTAGTACTGTACTAATATTGGGGAATATTGGTAGTCTATGCTGCCTAGTACTGTACTAATATTGAGGAATATTGGTAGTCTATGCTGTTTAGTACTAATGTGAAGAAATAGTGGACTCTCAGAAAGTTAACCTATTCCCAGAACACTAATTTTATGATGAGATACATCTTTGCATGTACATCTGCCCTACAGATCAGCTTAATACTGGTACTCGCTCATTAGTTTTCTGTTATATTATTACATTGTAATATACTTGGGTTTGCAATTTATCTGTTCTACTTAAATTACCTGGTATTTAACATGTGAACAGTACCTATAGTACCCAATACAAATTTCTGTTGTAGGTACCAACATCCATAAATTCCATCCAGTTAACTAAACATTTCCAGCACCCATTCTGCTTCTGTTTTCTTTGCCTAGAATTGCTTTAAAAAAGGGTTATGGTAAATAAAAAAACTGCACAGCCAAGCGTAAAAAATTGGGCATGGTCGGAGTCGCGGGATTTCTGGCTTTGTGAAAATCCAGATTTTAGCTACTGTACACACTGGTTCCTGTTACCAGAATATTTACCTAATATATATGTATAGCTTTGCCAATGTTTGTTTATTTACACAATATGCTTTTTGTGTATATTTAACATGTTTCATATTTGAAACTATACAAGTTTTAGGAAAAGTGTGTTAGGAAATAGGTGTTTGTTTATCCGTAAAGGCAAAACACTGTCGTGTCAGAGGGTTAAATTCTGTCATTCACCTGTCTCGGCACTCCACCAGCCATTATACTGCAGACAATAAGTGACAGTATTGGGGTTAAACAATAGACACCCAACATACAAATCTGAAAATAAAGAAATTGACAAACTTTGATCCATTTTGGACCATTATCATTGCTTGATTTGATAGTGGTCCAGGAGGGACTGAAAAGTCGTTAATTCCTTTGTCAGATTAGTGGGTTGTCTGTCTACTCATTATACTGTAATGTTGCTCTCCATCAAACTGTCTGGCATATATGTACAATAGAATCGACCACTTTACTCACTTTTATATACAGTACAGTAATTAGTAATAAATTAAAATAAAAAATAAAAAATCATAAAATCTTTGTACAGTATTGATGGAATTTTAGGATAAAATCGGCTAGAATGTCTCCAACATTTTGAAGTGGATAAAGCTATCAGTGGGAAAATGTTGACCAATAATTAACGAAACATCAGCTTACCATGGCAGCAATAAACATAGACATGCATTCATTAGTACTGTAATGTGAGTAAGATATGCATTCATTAGTACTGTAATGTGAGTAATATATGCATTCATTAGTACTGTAATGTAAGATATGCATTCATTAGTACTGTAATGTAAGATATGCATTCATTAGTACTGTAATGTGAATAGAATAATTTCATATACATCATCAAAAGAGTAAGTTCTAATTTACTTTTCTGTTTAAATCTATCTGTTACAGTTGGGAAGGTCGAGAAAAATCTGGCACTCGTCAGTTGCTGGCGATTGGCTGTGTATTGCACCTCCTAATAAATGTGGCATTCACCACTCTTCTACTTACCATTTCGGCCAACAATTATCCAGGAGGAGCCGCTATTCACAAGTTGCATCAGATTATTCCTCAAGACGCTAAGGTTCATATTCATATAGATAATTATGCAGCCCAAACTGGAGTATCGAGGTTCACACAGCTTCACGATCACTGGAAGTGAGTTGGAGATTGTGTCATGGATAATTTGTTTGATACTTAAAACAATACTGACTGCCTGTTCTGTGATCAAATTATTAGGATTGAATAAATTCTGTTGCTGTAAATACTGTCGACAGACTACGGTAAAATGATGATTCTGTGTGGTAGTATTAGAAGCCTCCCTTGTGAAGAGAAATAAAGTTTAATTTACATTCTTTAGGAAGACAGAAAATGAGGGATGACATGATTGAAGAATATAAATGGATATAATATATAGGATATAATATGAATAAGGTGTTTAATATCAACACAAAAGGATGACTACAAATTAGATGTTTACAGTTAGGAATTCAGTGTGTGATTAAAAGTGCAGCGAGGTCAATGGAAGATAATTGCTGTACTCTATAATTTATACTATCTGCTGATAAACCTGATAGATGATGAAATGATAGTGCTATACTTAATATAACTTCAACTGGAAAAAATATGTTTCACTGTGATAAATTTTCAGGTACAACAAGACAGAAAATATGAAGGCCGGAAGTAATGATATGCGGTCTTTCAGTCACCTTCTAGTTGAGGCCAAGTCCAAATACTCCTACAATCTGAAGCATTACACATCTTCCCATGAGATTATCTCTGCAGTAGAAGCATTTTCACATCTTAGTTTCAATTATCAGCAATTTCCTCCAGTGAAGGTATTGTTTCATCCAAATTTGCACATAATGCTATGTAGTCTTTTCTGTTTTAAATCTCTCTTTTGCATTATTGCTTGGGACACACACTTTCCACTATGGAAAGTGTGTATCATATATGCATTAGTGAAACATCTAGTGTGTATTTTGATGGGGGCTCATAATTTGGGTCTGGGGGCCCAGAGCAGGAGCCATTGGTTAATTGAATGCATTTCATTCCAGTGTTGATTATTACATACTGTACTTGTATCTACAGGTTAGAGTCAAGCCAGCAGTGTTCCTGCTGAAGAATCTAGAAGAGGAAAATATAGATTGGTCATGGCTACCTTCAGAAACATCGACAGAAGATGCTAATATAAAAGGTGAACCGATACAGCAAGAAAATATTGAAGAAGATCAGATTGAGGAAGATGAAGGAAAACAAGTATTAGAAAGTAATACATTTGAATTAAAAGAGGAAGAAATTGGCATAGGAAAGAGAAATAATAAGAGAGATATTGATAATGAAAACAAGGTAGAAGGATATGGGGTAAAGAAGGTAGGAAATAAAGAAACCTTTGGAGAAGATGATATAGAACCAGTAATAGTCGATGCAGAAGAAGAAGAAATGCTTTTGGAACCCAAGCTTCCCAATACTGGCTGCTTTGCTCCAGAAGGGGAAATAACTGAAGTCTTTGATGTTGAGGATATTCATGATTTCCCTGTAGATGAGCTGTTAACTTCAAAGCCTGATGCAGGTGAAGAGATTGCCGAAGCAGCAGCAGCAGCAGCGGAGCCTCTTGAAGTGGTAGACGATGCAGCAAATGCGGAAAACGAAGACATTACTGAACCCTGTGTTCTTTGCAGTTCAGGTGATGATTCTCCTAATGATATTACTATTAATGTTGCTAAAGACGGTATCAGTGGTTTGTGTGATGATAGTGTTGTTGATCATGTAGGTCAAGATAAAGCTGGTGGTAATGATGATGTTGGCAGTAATGATATTAATGGCAAAAGTGGTTTCACTAAAAACGATGATGTTGATAATATTAATGCCAGGGATGAGAAAGAAGGTAATGTTAATGATGTAGATAGCAGTAATTTGAATGTTGATAGTAATGTTAATGATGTAGATAGCAGCAATTTGAATATTGATGGTAATGTTAATGATGTAGATAGCAGCAACTTGAATGTTGATAGTAATGTTAATGATGTAGATAGCAGCAATAGTAATGTTAAAATTGTTGACAATATTGATGGAGTCCATAGTGACACCAGTGATAATGTTTTTCCTGACAATGTTCTTGAAACCAATCCAGAGATTCTCGATGACAAAGTTGGTGCTACTTTACCACCCGGAGAGAGTATTAAACTAATTGAAGATTTAGAAGTTGAAGATACTGATGCCGAAGAGGAGGAAACTAGGTTCGTCGAAGTGACATTGCCTTCGGATGACAAGGATGCGCAAAGTGAAGTTATGGAAGTAAGTGCCAAAGAACTACCAAGTGAACCTCAGTTAACACCACTACCACTGAGGGCTGGTGACCGGAACAGCAAGCATGTACACACTTAAACTGTTATTGAGTGGAATGGTTTTGGCATTCCAGTAGTATGGGGTTTTGAGTGAAGTGCTGGTGTCTTTAATTTTTTGTATATAACTTGAATAACACTTGGTTTGTGATCCTGTAGTAGTATTAAAAGGGAGATAAACAATGCGTGAGTACATGTATGTGTGCATTTACACATGTGTGCATGTGTAAATATGTGTGTGTGTGTGTGTGTGTGTGTGTGTGTGTGTGTGTGTGTGTGTGTGTGTGTGTGTGTGTGTAAATGTCACATTGCCATGTGTACACAGCATGTTCGTATGTTCACAAGGTGTGTATGTGATGCATAGCTGTTAATTTGAAATTTAATTATTAATATGCTCATACTCCCTGGAAACCATGTCATTCCATAAAATCACACACTTCCAGCTACTTATTATATTAATAACATAAATTTTGACTTAGAGTTAAACCCACATCTGAATCCATTCCTCCACAGAAAAAAGTAAATATCTACTGCATTTTTAATTCTGCAGATTTTCACACATTTGGAGAGATTAGTAGATGAAGAAATTATTACAGAATATTGCTCCTAGGAAGTGCCTTCATAGTAATGCTTGTAGATTTATATTTTTGTGACAATAACATTTTGCATGCTAGTGCACTAGTGTAATGCATCAGAAGTATATACGTTGAGTGCTCTCTTTAATCCTTCATTTGTTTATACATTGTTGTTGGCCTTCTAGTGGCACAATCTTATGATACAAGTTAATATTAAATGCTAAGAAGTTGAGCTTATTGATAACTTTAAATATTTCAGTGATATGCAGTTTAATAAAAAATATTTGCAGTTGTATGGCCACTTGCTTCGGCTAGTCTCTTATTGCTCACTGTTATTGACCGAGTTGAGAGTATTAATACCCTGTACATGACTTAAGATTCACCGAGATTAGTAGTAGTTTTACCTAGTCTTTATAATTTCTTGAAGGTTAATATTCCTTTGTTATTTTGTTCTTGGGTTATCTTTGTTTTAAAATAGTTTTGCATACAATTATATGATACAGATGGAAGATTCTACAGCAGTTATCTTAGAGTTGAGGCATAGATGAAGAGAAAAGATAATTATTTTAGTCTAAAATAGTGTCTTCTTCTTTATTAGTGACTTGAAGTAGTTATCTGAATGCTGTAAAAAAAATGCTCAGGCAGTATATATATCAGACAGTTTTATCCTTTTCCATTGTTTTCAACAATTTCTTACTGACAAAATGTTCAACATTTTAGATGAAAAGTACAAATTGTCAGGGCCACTATAACTCCAGATGTTCTCAGTTTTAATCAAAAACAAAATGCAATTATAATTTCATATATAGGCATATACCTATTGGAGACTTTGTCTATGTGCCTAGACAATTAAATCTTAATACAATTTCAAATTTTTAATTAAGATTACATAAAGAAATTTAAAGATGTTTAAATTATCTTGGAGGCAAATTTCATTTTTATTTTATGTAGTGAAAAGTTTCAGCAACAGATCAGATGTTGGAAACATTGGATGGCTTCTCTACTCTCATCCTGATTTTTTTAGATAATTGTAATGTCTGTCCTGTATCTGATACAGTAGCAGTAATGACTTTTGTATTCCTTGTAACTTTATTAGAGACTGGCAGTTTATATAAAGTGGATGAGTGATGTAAAGTGATGTTTTGCATTACAGTAAAGTGCTGGACAGAGTGAAGACTTCCTCATTAATCGTATGTTCTCTTGAGTGACGAATGCTTATGACCACGAGTTGTAGTCTATAGTTATGCTTTTTGGCCAATATGACCTAAACCCAGTGTGACAATAAGATGATAATTGTGAAGTCCTTATCATTTTATCCTGTTCTTATCTAGTAACTAATACAATGGATCCTGATACATCTTAAGATTAAAAGGTAAATATGCTTTATCTAGTGTTTGGAATGGTTTTCCTTGGTGCATTTTTTAATTTTGTAACATAGTCGACTTCAAAGAAATGACTCCTTATAAAGATTTTATAACATTTCTATATGGCATTTTGACATGGAAGTTTTATTATTTTGTTGTAAGAATATTACCTGCACAACCCACACTGCCTGGAGGTAATATTAGTATTAATAGCTTAGACTGTGTATAGTGTAATTGTAGATACGAATGTAAACTAAATTTTGTAAAGCAGGTGCGTCATTTTAAGTCATTTTGAAGGCAAATATGAATGCCTTTGTTTGTGAATAGAATACAGTACTTATTTTCTAACATTGATTAAGCTTCATTTATTTTGTTTATAGATAACCATGACATTGTAGATGAAAGTTAATTCCATTGTCTTAAATGGTTTTATTTTTTATTAATTTTATTATTTTTTATATGAGAATTCATACAAATGTACCATAATTATTAATCAAAGTTGTATTTTACTTCAATCATGGCTTTGATAACTTATCAGAAGTAAACTGAAAATTTATTTATTTATTTATTTATTATATATTTATTTACTGAATGTATTTAAATTTTAGTAATGCTAACCCTATGTACAGGGTTACCCACTGGTCAGACCCAGTACCCACTGGTCATGTACCCTATGTACAGTTTTGACATGATGGTCTGGCTTTAATGTGAAAAGTTAAATAGAAACAAGAGTAAAAACTATAATCTGAGATGAGTGTGTGGCAGTTGGAGAATGGAATAAAAAATGAAAATGTATTGGAGGGATTGGAGTGCAAAAGTCAAGAAACCACAAGACTGAGAAGATGGCACCAAGATTTGGGCATGTTGAATGAATGGGTATGGTAAAGCAGTGATGAGAGAGTATTCAAGTGAATTTGTGGCTACGAGTTGGAGAGGAACGGCCAGATAGAAGATAAGCGAACATCGTGAGAAAGCAAGTACACACGAGTTGACAGTGCACGGTTTATAGTAGGGGTTTTGTGCCATCGCACAGGTCACTAAGAATAATTGCGAATTCAGTAGAAACTGCAAATTTTAATAGATATTGTGGTCACAAACGTTAACAAAATATTTACATTTTCATCACCTGAATCAAACATAGTCGAGGCCTGGCCGCGGGGACGCTAAGCCCCGAAATCATCTCAAGATCTCAAGATATGGATGATTAGAGCTGATGTTAAACTTTAAATTGTCTACCTTACCTTGCGTTGATTTCAGGGATCAATGTTCTCACGGCCTGGTCTCCGACCTGGTCTCCGACCAGGTCTCCGACCAGGTCTCCGACCAGGTCATATAGACCTCCGACCTGGTCTATATCAGTGTAGGCATCCATTTTTTTTTCCATCTACAACATACCTAACAAAATTCCTCAGTGTAAAATAAATTGCATAAACCTTTAGCTGTTTTATCCTAAATAAAGTGAAAGTTGAAAGATCATGCTGTTATGTAATGCCAGAAGCTGTAAATAAAACAGGAATTTAGCATCATGTAACAAATGAGGGAATGTGATGGTCCCTTTCTCTCGTGTCCATGTCGAGAGTGTTGCTTATGTAGCCATCTAGCTTCCATTAGCGAGATAAAATGAATCTACCTTTTAACACTTTTGATTGAAAACGAGACCAACCTCTTTTGCTAGATGTAAGTACTTGCCTTCAGGCTCCAGACCTGAGCACCTATGACTTGATCAATAGTAACATTTATAGATCTACGTGTCATAGGTTTATCTATATGATGTGTTTGTTTTTGCTAGCCAGTGCTTCAAGACAAATTACTATATTAGCCCTTGTTATGAATACAACTCGAGGACTTGGGGAGCCGGTCGGCCGAGCGGACAACACGCTGGACTTGTGATCCTGTGGTCCTGGGTTCGATCCCGGGTGCCGGCGAGAAACAATGGGCAGAGTTTCTTTCACCCTATGCCCCTGTTACCTAGCAGTAAATAGGTACCTGGGTGTTAGTCAGCTGTCACGGGCTGCTCCCTGGGGGTGGAGGCCTGGTCGAGGACCGGGCCGCGGGGACACTAAAGCCCCGAAATCATCTCAAGATAACCTCTAACCTCTCAAGATACACCTGTCTCCAGCTCTAACCACCAGAAGCAGAATACAGGTACAGTACTTGGGTTCATTCATCGGCATTGCAGAGGCGATCCATCAAGCTGTGTAACCTACCTGCAGAAGTATAGCCTTCTTGTGATTGCCACTAATAATGCTACTGTAGGTTTCTTTAATGGTCAAGTTTCTTAAGTCATATATGACATGGTATATGTATGGAATTGCAAATAATTTCACAATCTATAAATCCCATGAACAATAGTAGTCACATTACATCTGGAACTACTAAACAGCTCATAGATGATCTACACAACTGTAATTGCTACTATTGGTGGATTAAAAAATCAAGTCGTCTTTGCACTCTTTTTGGTGAGTACTCGTCTTTTAATTAAATAAAATTCTTTGTCATTAAGGTTTTTAAGCTAATATTCTACTACATATAACCTTCAATATATCTATAAGGCACTATTATTTATATTTTCCACATTTTTACATTTTAGTGGCAATATCTTCCTAATCACTGTACAGTATATTGAATAAGGCATCAGTAAAAAAAAAATTCAAGTGTACAGATATTAATAAATATATTTGATAAATCAATAAATTTCATTTAATTATCTATATACAATACTGTTGTTCAATAATTCCTCTATATATGTGCTTAATCTTAATTATGTATTATAATTGCAGGACGATGAGGGTTCGCCGTCTGCAGTAGAGCAGGTCATTACCGGGATCAGGCAATGTTTATGGAACGTCTTTCTCTTCTGTGCTGTCTGTTACATTGGCATGTCACTTTACTGAAGTGTTGAGGTTATTATACGAGTAGTGGCATGACCCTTTTACAGTACTGAAGTTCACAGTACACGTACATAAAAATGTGTGTACTGAACTGCACAAGCAACATTTTTGTGCATCTACATGGTTTGCTACATCAGCTTGAATGTGGAAGGGATACAATTTGTTGTATGCTTGCAGTATATTATATGCACCATTTGTATATTACTATAAATACCTAGGCTCAAACAAATTTAACTTTTTAAATATTGTTTGTGTGTTAAAATTCTCATACAAATTTTCATCATGGCCATTTAAATTAAAAGTGCATTGAAAACTGTTTGGTTTTCCATAGTGAGGGACAGGACGTCGTCTGGGCATATTGAGATATTTCTCATTACTGTACCGGTAATAATAATAATAATAGTGGAGGCGATGAGTCACAATAACGTGGCTAAATCTATCTGACGAAACAAAGCATACATCATCCACAGGGATGTTTCAGAAGATCTGAACCAAAGACCTGAAAAAACATTATAGTATTAAGTTGATTTGCATCTTTGTCAAAGCAGGGGGATTTTATAACTGCACTGTATAGTGTATCTTTTTAACAATGTTTTTTTTGTAATTTAGTGACTAATTTAGCTGGGAAATATGAAAAATAGGCTAATGCTTTGCTTATATATCTACCTTATTTACAGTACTATACTAGGAAAAAATATAAATGTATTTTAATACAAGTAAAAATATTAATAAATAATAGTACAGTATTATATATATTACATTCAATTCTTCCATCTTTTATTCTTAAGGGAGTTTACATGATCAGTATTTAATTTGTTCTGCTGACTAATATTGTACACTACATTTTGACATCAAAATCCACACCAGACAAAATATGATGTAATGCTCACAAACATTCACGCTTTCAATACATTGGCTGCTCAGGTAGATTAGATTAGCCACCCCGCCCCCATTGCGTTTCCTTGTCTGTTGTTGTTGTTTTAGATTCAGCTACTCGGAACAAAAGTTCCAAGTAGCACGGGCTATGGTGAGCCCGTAGTGGACTTAACTGGCACAGGAGCGGGGCTGTAACTGATTTCCTTGTTGTGGTGAGGGGCCTAACGTATACCTCTCTGGGACCCGTGAGGGTTGCCCGCGCCCCCTTTCCTGTCCCTGTTAAAAATGTCCCTCTTTGGGAGTTTAAGTGAGAAAGAACACAGACGTAGGGGGGTCTTGTGAGCCAACGGACCACCCGCTGGAGGGGTCGCCTGAGTGGCTGCCTTAAGTGGATGGCTGGGTGTCCAGGCTGGGGGGAAAGGGAAAATGAGGTCTTTGCACCAGTGTAGGAGTATGGACGAAGCAGTAGGACTCTCCTGTTAAAAAGGGGGAGCACCGCTGTAGACGACGCACCCCTTCCTGCACTGGACAGCGCTCGGCCTCCCTGGGTGCCCTGGTTGGTGGTATTCCCCTCCCTCCTCTGTAGTAGGGTCGAGTTCCAAGCCCCGAGTGGTGACCACCACGTCCCCTGGCAGGGCTCCATCTCTCATTGTGACTACTGCGCCTTTTAACCCCTCTCTCTGGGGGTTCTCAACGCTGTCCCCGCCACGGCCGCACTTGCACGATCCCTTCCCATACTAATACGTACCACACCTTGGTTGGTCCTGTTACATGGGCTAAATACTTTGATCGTCACCATCTGGATTCTACTCCTGACGATTTGCCCCTCCATAAACACCTTGTTGATTCGGTAGATGCCTCTGTTTCTTTTAACCCCACCCGTTTCTGTGTACGTGTCGTCGCTGCTGCTCCTCGGGATGCAGCTACCCGCTTAGCAGCATTTTCCTGCATTGGGGAGACCCCTGTTCGGGGTCTCCAGGAACGGTCGGTTAAATGCCAGTGTTGGCACTGTTCTGCACTATGTTGCAATTGGTGTTAGGGCCCTAAATGACTGCCATGAGGATATTAAGCATATCCTTGAAGCCCAAGGCCATTCTTTCCTCCAGGTGACACATTCACTCGACCCCCTCGTGGTCGTCGCCGTCATCCCCTTCGAGTTGCAAAAATCACCTTTGTTTTTTTGATGGCACCCTTCTGCCAATGAGAAATAATTCTAATTTTGGCACCCTATAATTCTTGCTGGTGCCAGATGCTCCATTCAGGAGTGCATTCCCTCAACTAGACTTTGCCATAATTGCTGGAAGTTCGGGCATGGTGCCCTCAAATGCACAAGTACTGTGTATCTATGCTCCATGTGTGGGGACGATGATCACTAAGTCCGAATGCACTTCTCCCCAGGCTCGCTGCCTCAATTGCGGTGAGACCCACCCTACCTTCTCTCGCTCGTATATACATTACAAACTTAAGGAAGCCGTCCTCAACCTGAAACACCGGGATCGTCTGTCTTTTCCTGAAAGCAAGACACCAAGTTCGTCGTCTCACCCCTTTTGCTGGCGTATCCCACGCTCGCGTACTGCGTTCTACCTCTTCTTGCCCTTCCCACCTTACTCAGTCTCACAACCGTTTCCAGGCCTTAGACCAGGACACGCCCACGACCTCTTCTCCCCGTTCCTTTACGTTCTGTCCATAAATCAGATTTGTGATATTTCCTATATTTTGAAAACTGTAGGGGGGGGTTTGGCCAAAATGTGACCCATCGCCGTTTTCAATAATTGGCATATTTTCAAACTCCAAATATCCAAACGCCATCATCACTACTACCACCACGACCACTACTACCATTACCACCACGACCACTACTACCACCACCACAACTACCACTACTACCACCACCACCACAACTACCACCACCACCACAACTACCACTACTATCACGACCACTACTACCACCACCACCACAACTACCACCACCAGAATTACCAGCAGCTTCACAACCACAACCACCACCACCAAAGAAACAGAAGGGTGAAGGAGAAACAGAGCAGTGAAGGAGTAACTAAGAGAATGTGTAGGCAACAGAGGAAGGAGAACGGGTTCAGGATAGATGAAGGAGCGAGTGTCCCACGGTCCGTGGAGATGGATGGGGATAGACGGATGACCTGTCCTTACCTGTCAGGGTTCACGGAGTAATAAGGTCTATAGGCCCCTGAGAGGTAGGCCAAGCCTCGGGGACGCATACCTGCCACATATAATATTTTTACGTGTTATAAGCTTATATTAGGTGTTACAAGCTTACCATATAGACGTAGGTTGTCTCACAGATGAACTTTCATTACTACGGGCTCACCATAGCCCGTGCTATTTGGAACTTTGTTCCAGGTAGCGAATCTTTAACAACGTAGGTTGTCAATTTATTAAGGAGGGATGTCGCATGTTGAAATTTAAAATTTACTGAGATAGGGTATATCAGCTGATTGATTGATTGATGAAGATTAAGCCACCCAAAAGGTGGCACGGGCATGAATAGCCCGTAAGTGGTGGCCCTTTTAAGCCATTTCCAGTATCAAGAGCTGATACTGGAGATCTGTGGAAGTGCGAATGCACCCTGCATTAAGGGAGATGTCTCCCTTATGAATGTGTTAAGATGAAGAAGAAGCAACCCAAAAGGTGGCACGGGCATAAATAGCCCGTAAGTGGTGGCCATTTTTAGCCATTACCAGTATCAAGAGCTGATACTGGAGATCTGTGGAGGTGCGAATGCACCCTGCATGACGGGAGATGTCTCCCTTGTGAATGTGTTTAAGATGAAGATGAAGCCACCCAAATGGTGGCACGGGCATAAATAGCCCGTAAGTGGTGGCCATTTTAAGCCATTACCAGTATCAATAGATGATACTGGAGATCTGTGGAGGTGCGACTGCACCCTGCGTGACGGGAGATGTCTCCCGGACCAAATGGTGACCAGATGGTGAGGTATATCAGCAAAGTTTTTAAGATTATATATGAAGAGAGAAACTGGTGCTGGTAATTCAGTGGTGTGTTATGGAAAGATTAATATAGGGTTGTAGGATATTGTTATAGTTATATATGCGTTTAGAGGAGGATTAGATTTAGTAGTTTCTTAGCATTTAACACGACGTGCTCATTGTCATAACCAAGTGTAAATCAATGGGCTTACTACGATCGAGAAAAAAATAATAATAGAAACCCATTCATTGTGTGGGTTTTCTCTTAGGAGGTTTACATGACGAATATATCACTCAGAATTCGTTAGTGAGCTTCCAAACCACCAATTACATAAACACACATGAAGATTAGATTTCATTTACTCAATTACCAATTAGTGTAAAATATGCCAATTAGTGAAGACGGCGTTGGTCATATTTTACCCAAACCCCCCTGCAGTTTTCAAAATATCTGAAATGTCGGAAATTTGATTTCTGAACGTGATTTTTGAGCCGAATTCTGACTCTCTGCACCTATTTTCTTTTTTCAAATTACGAGTTTTTATACCGAAAATATGCCAATTACTAAAAACTGCGATGGGTCAAATTTTGCCCAAACCCCCCTACAGTTTTCAAAATATCTAAAATGTCAGAAATTTGATTCCTGAGCGTGATTTTTGAGCCGAATTCTGACTCTGCACCTATTTTCGTTTTCAAATTATGACTTTTTATACTCAAAATATGCCAATTACTGAAAACGGCGATGGGTCATATTTTGCCCAAACCCCCCTGCAGTTTTCAAAATATCTGAAATGTCGGAAATTTGACTCCTGAGCGTGATTTTTGAGCCGAATTCTGACTCTGCCCCTATTTTCATTTTCAAATTACAAATTTTTATACCTTAAATACGGCAATTACTGAAAACGGCGAAGGGTCATATTTTGCCCAAACCCCCCTGCAGTTTTCAAAATATCTGAAATGTCGGAAATTTGACTCCTGAGCGTGATTTTTGAGCCGAATTCTGACTCTGCCCCTATTTTCATTTTCAAATTACAAATTTTTATACCTTAAATACGACAATTACTGAAAACGGCGAAGGGTCATATTTTGCCCAAACCCCCCCTGCAGTTTTCAAAATATCTGAAATGTCGGAAATTTGACTCCTGAGCGTGATTTTTGAGCCGAATTCTGACTGCCCCTATTTTCATTTTTAAATTAAAAAATTTTATACCTTAAATACGGCAATTACTGAAAACGGCGAAGGGTCATATTTTACCCAAACCCCCCTGCAGTTTTCAAAATATCTGAAATGTCGGAAATTTGACTCCTGAGCGTGATTTTTGAGCCGAATTCTGACTCTGCCCCTATTTTCATTTTCAAATTACAAATTTTTATACCTTAAATACGGCAATTACTGAAAACGGCGAAGGGTCATATTTTGCCCAAACCCCCCCTGCAGTTTTCAAAATATCTGAAATGTCGGAAATTTGACTCCTGAGCGTGATTTTTGAGCCGAATTCTGACTCTCTGCACCTATTTTCATTTTCAAATTACTTTTTATACCGAAAATATGCCAATTACTAGAAACGGCGATGGGTCAAATTTTGCCCAAACCCCCCTGCAGTTTTTAAAATATCTGAAATGTCGGAAATTTGATTCCTGAACGTGGTTTTTTATCCAAATTCTGACTTTCTGCACCTATTTTCATTTTCAAATTACGACTTTTTATACCGAAAATATGCCAATTACTGAAAACGGCGATGGGTCATATTTTGCCCAAACCCCCCTGCAGTTTTCAAAATATCTGAAATGTCGAAAATTTGACTCTTGAGCATTATTTTTGAGCCGAATTCTGACACTGCACCTATTTTCATTTTCAAATTACGATTTTTTATACCGAAAATATGCCAATTACTGAAAATGGCGATGGGTCATATTTTGGCCAAACCCCCCTGCAGTTTTCAAAATATCTGAAATGTCGGATATTGTATTCCTGAGCGTGATTTTTGAGCCGAAATCTGACTCTCTGCACCTATTTTCATTTTCAAATTACAAATTTTTATACCTTAAATACGCCAATTACTGAAAACGGCGATGGGTCAAATTTTGCCCAAACCCCCCTGCAGTTTTCAAAATATCTGAAATTTCGGAAATTTGACTCCTGAGCGTGATTTTTGAGCTGAATTCTTACTCTCTGCACCTATTTTCATTTTCAAATTACAAATTTTTATACCTTAAATATGCCAATTACTGAAAACGGCTATGGGTCATATTTTGCCCAAACCCCTCTGCAGTTTTCAAAATATCTGAAATGTTTGAAATTTGACTTCTGAGCGTGATTTTTTAGCCGAATTCTGACACTCTGCACCTATTTTCATTTTCGAATTGCAACTTTTTTTTCGAAAATATGCCAATTACTGAAAACGGCTATGGGTCATATTTTGCCCAAACCCCCCTGCAGTTTTCAAAATATCTGAAATGTCGGAAATTTGACTCCTGAGCGTGATTTTTGAGCCGAATTCTGACTCTGCACCTATTTTCATTTTCAAATTACAAATTTTTATACCTTAAATACGCCAATTACTGAAAACGGCTATGGGTCATATTTTGCCCAAACCCCCCTGCAGTTTTCAAAATATCTGAAATGTCGGAAATTTGATTCCTGGGCGTGATTTTTGAGCCGAATTCTGACTCTCTGCCCCTATTTTCATTTTCAAATTACAAATTTTTATACCTTAAATACGCCAATTACCGAAAACGGCTCTGGGTCATATTTTGCCCAAACCCCTCTGCTGTTTACAAAATATCTGAAATGTCGGAAATTTGACTCCTGAGCGTGATTTTTGAGCCGAATTCTTACTCTCTGCACCTATTTTCATTATATTTCCTCTCTGCACCTATTTTCATTATATTTTCTCTCTGCCCCTATTTTCATATTTATTTTCATTTTCTATTTTCATAATAAAGATATTATGGTGTATTATATTTTTTGATCAGTATACTCTCATGAGTCGTTTTAGAGATAATGATGTTATGTTATGCTATGTTACGATTGGGTATGCCAACTCATGTTTGGTTAGGTTAATTAACGTTTTCACTAAATGCTATATTATCGGCATAAAAAGTCGTAATTTCAAACTCCAAATATATGCAGTGAGTCAGAATTCGGCTCCGAAATAACGCTCATGGTTCTGATTTGCGATATTTCCGATATTTTGGAAACTGAATCAGACTGACCGACCGAGCTCCCTTGTAAATATTTGTGGCTTCCTGACCATAAAGTTACCGCCGCGGTCTAGTGTAAGAAGACCGGATTTACCCAGTATTACAACCCTTTAACTTTATCTACTTTTATCTACAGTGTAGATAAAAAAACAGCTACAAGCTCATGCAACATCAATACATCACAGGCCGGCCAGTCATAAATGGAATCAGGAGAGAACATGAAATGTAAATCTCTATTAGCCTCCACTAGCACACCCTGGGTACAGCACAAGAATATCTTCCAATATACCTAAGTGTATGAAGTAACTACAGAGCTCAAAGTACCTCATACTATTTGGTCTGAAGTCACTGATAACGGCAATCACATATGTAGTGTTGCAGAGTATGTCCCAGCTCTTGTTCACATAGTTTAACAATTGGAATGTTCATTTTGGGGGGGATTCATTACCTGCAGCTACCTGCCATAGATATCGATATCCCAGCCTAATTCTGGCAATTATAAAGTCACACTGTCTAGTGGATCTTTAGTGCTGCCCGTACATATAATTCTCGGTTCTAAATGTGTAATTTATACTCGTTGTAACACAAGTTTTTATACTCGTTTTCTGGCTTTTATGTGTCAGTAACTGGTCTTCTGTCTTCCCCTAATTTCCTGAAATATTGCGGCTTTTACGGCAAAGATTGTAATGCCCATATCCAACTTGATCTCCAGCTTATCACATGCAGGTTTAACTGCCTTGTCTGTGTCATTATGCTCGACAACACCTGTGTGAGATGGTATCCATACAAATGAGACAAACTTTTGCTCTTGCATTAATAATGTTGTTTATAATGGATGTTACAACATTCTTAGTATCAATAGTACCAATCGCACTTACCGGAGCAGCACCCATCACCACGTCCGTCCTCTCACAAGGGGTACCATCCACAACCGAGACATCCTCACGCTCGGGCAAGGGAGGAAAATCCGCTTCATGAAACACATTAATCCGATCATACATCAGAGTGTCACAGGCAGCAGCCAAATGTCCACATTTAAACCACGTCCGAGTCTGCCCACGGTAGGAGAAGCAGACAGTAAAGCCAGCAAGCGTGAGAGAAGAAGGCACATTCTCAGGAAGAACCATCTTAGCCGTTCTGTAACCATTACCGAGTCCCTTGACGTCCCCGGTTGTGTATCTACAGGCACGAATAGAGTCCACACGCCCATACCTAGCAAGAGCCCGACGGAGAAGATCCTCAGACATTTCAAACGGCGCATTCTTAATAGACACGTATGTGTACTCCACACTCAAATTCGTCACAGTCACAGAGCCAAGACCGTTGCTCAGCCTCACCACCTTGTCCTCATACTGGTCGAGAAACCTCCGGCACAAGCCACTCTCGGCGAACTTCACAACCACTCTGTCGTCACGAACAACCTGTAGACCGACGAGATCTCCCACTTCCACTTCTCTTGGGAGGTAGAAATAGCCTAAGCTACTCTATCCCTTTGAGATGTACTTCTTGCTTATCTCAATAAACATACTTGAACTTGATCTTCCACTTTCACACCCATAACTGCAAACACTGTTGTTGACGACGCCAATATCCACCCGACAGGTAAATGTCAGCCCAGCCGAGTCCTTCCTCCATAGTGGCGGCACGTAAGTCTCCATACTGAGACTGAAAAACAGTCACCCTGCAGTGGTAAACAACCAACCAACAGTACACAGTAATGATTGGCGCAGGCCAAGGCGCTCGCGACACGCCGGGCAAGTGCTTTACCACTGCGCCACGAGGATTGTCTGTTTATTCAGGTAAAAGTACATACAGTACACTCAAAATGAGTTACAATGTTTTATTTCTAGATAGAACTAGTAAATACTATGCCTAAAGCCACTAATACGCACAGCGTTTCGGGCATGATAAGTGGGGTAAACACTTAGACTAAAACTTAAACTAATTGAGATCAAAGCATAAATTAAATTGAAAAAGAGAAAACAAAAAAAAATTATAATAATTACATGAAGTATGGAGAAGCATAAATTGAAACAAAACAGCATAAGTAATTTTAACTAAATAAACAGATGACTACAATTTTATTTGTTTATACATGGCGGATGCAATTATACAAGTTGGTCAATAATCAATATTGTTTGAAAATAGGAAGACAGGATCATATTTAACTGGGTAAGGAAGGTTGCATGGAGTTTATTAGGCAGTACTTAGTTTTTCACTTAAACGGGTTGAGAGAGGTACAGTCTTTGACATGATTGGGAAGGTCATTCCCCATTTTGAGTCCCTTGACTTGCAGAGCATTTCTAGTCTGGTTAAGTCGCACTCTTGGAATATCAAATAGGTATTTTGACCAGACCACACGCTAGAAGGTGAAGGGACGACGACGTTTCGGACCGTCCTGGACCATTCTCAAGACGACTTGAGAATGGTCCAGGACGGACCGAAACGTCGTCGTCCCTTCACCTTCTAGTATGTGGTCTGGTCAACTTACTTTAGCCACGTTATTGTGACTCATCGCCTGCATCAAATAGGTATTTGTTTCTAGTGTGGTGCCCATGGGTTTCGGGATGAGTTACATGTATATTATGCAACTATATAAGCAAAAGGGGGACACAATGACTCTCCTCAATCAGTATAGGGGTCGAGAATAGTAAAAATTAATTTAGGAAACGGTACCTAAAATTGGGTTCGAGACCGTAGCTAACTAACGAGAAAGTACACAACAAGGTGACTATCAGTCATATAAACACACATTAGTATGTTGTATATTTTACATGAAACTTTTTAAAGTCCTCCCTAAAATTTTTAATTCAGGCCTCAACATGAGTGAATTGATAATGTTAATAATGTGAAGTTGAATACATTTATCTTCGTTGCCAACTAAGTATTGCATACATTCCGAAAAAAAGAAGCCACAGCTCGGCGCCTGCTCATTGAGGCTATTTTAAATTTGAATTGAAACCAAAGTGTGAGACCATTCATTAGCAATGGAAATTTGCTGCCACTGAAAAACGGCTTCAGGATTGCAACTGTTTAGTATAAAGTCCATCCCGAATATGCATAATCTGTATACTAAAAATAAGTTGTTTTTTTGCTAGTGAGTGTTCCTTGCACCCAACAGCAGGACTGCTTAATTATTTACACGCAGTCCGTAGTCACCAGTTGCTAGGTTTCACGTAAAATCAGTGAACAAATCCACAAGGGCCGTGACGAGGATTTGTTCATTTGATGCATCACGTTAGTGTGATATCTGTGTGTGACGTAAACTCAGTGTTTTATATATCTAAAAGTACCTAACTGTGTGTTTTGATCGAGTTGCTGATGAATGCTTTGAGAGGAAGCCGTTTTGAGAGGTATCAGCTCGGCATCAGTGTAGGTGATGTGGGGGACCGAGTAGTTGCCCTCGATGATGGGGAAGCTGATCTCTGGTCGGGAACGTTTGCTGCCTCTTGGGCTGCTCTGCTGATTGCGGACACTAAGCGAATTTCTTCCGCGGTCAATCGAACTGTGCGCACTGCTGCCCTCAGCCGCATTGTTGCTACTGCAATAATTGCGTTCAGTTGTGCTGTTGGTGCTGCTACATTTGCATTCAATCGTACCAGTGGTGCGGCTGTAGTTTCGCTCTTCAGTGGTGTTGGTGCTGTTATCTTTGCGTTCAGCTGTGTTGTTATTGCTGTGATACAGAGGAGTATTGGCGCGGCTGCTCCAGCTGTTGAAGCCGCTGGAGTTCATCCTGTCTGGCGAGCTGTTCCTGTTCAAGAAAGACAGTGTGCCTCTTATTGTATCCGCGTAGACGGGGGTGCGCCGCAGCCCGCTCTGGTCTCGTCTCCGCGAGATGTGAGCGCGACGACAGCGGCTACAGAGCAGCACGGACACCACGCCCACCACCACGCCCACCAGCAAGGCCGCCGCCAGCAGCACCACCACCGGCACCCCGCCCACGGCACCCAGCACCATCAGAAATGACCTATTACTCCCTGACTCCTCGATTCCTGTGAGGAAAAAAATAGAATATTAGTTGCTATCGAAATAATTAAGTTATAGATTTCGCTTTGATATAAATTTGTTATCTATGAAATCTTTTTCTTATCTTGTTTCTTTAATACTGTTTATTCTTCAGACCTTTACACAAACTCATTATCCCTTAATATAGTCAATGGTAGATGCAAAAATGCAGATGTACCCAAGTGTGTTAATGATAATGAAATAAAAATTCATGTGTACTTATCTAGTTGTGCTAGCGGGGGTTGAGCTTCGGCTCTTTGGTCCCGCCTCTCAACTGTCAATCAACTGATGTACAGGTTCCTGAGCCTACTGGGCTCTGTGTGTCTCAGTCAGTATACCACAACTAAAGCTTAACATGAAGACATACCTTCCTCCTCAGTGGTGTTGCTGTCAATTCCAGGACTGGTGTGAGGCGTTGGTGTGGTAGAGGCCGCGTGTTTGACCATTTCCAGGATGGTGTGGGACGGTAGTAACTTAGCGGCATTGTTCTGGATGTCGCGGGGCGAGGACCAAGAGGAAGCAGTTGCTTTACCTCCTGGTTTTAGTGGAAATTGTGTCGTCGAGAGAGAGGACAGGAGGTTCTCCGGTGGGCAAGGGTCAATTATAGCCTTTCCCTGTGCCAGAAAAAGTAAGTGATATAATTTATGCTTACATATGTAGTGTGCATGTCTAATGCAGTGCAGTATATAGCATATATATATACCCAGTCTTAAGCGAAAGAAAAATCCTACTTAAATTAGAGCAACATAAGACCAAAACAAAATTAAATAGGACTTTCTTAAATTGAGCGAAGCAAAGCAAATTGGGTTGCTTTGTTAAATAAAGCGAAGCGGTAAGGAAAAATAATGTACAAACAGAACTACTTAAAGTTGAAGAAAACTCTAATTACTAGTGTTATTTTGTTAAATAGACCATAGCACTACATTGAGTTCTTTCGTAAAGCAGAGCATAAAGCAGAGCAGAGCTTCGTAAAGCACTGCTAAAATGGAGTAACTTTAGGTGGAGGAAAACTCTTGAGTAAATACAGCTAATTTTATTTGTATTATTTTATTATTATTTTATTATTATTTTATTATTATTTTATTATTATTTATTATTATTTTATTATTATTTATTATTATTTTATTATTATTTATTATTATTTATTATTATTTTATTTTATTTTATTTTATTTTATTGTTAATCAGAGCGAAACACGAAGTAAATAAAATAAATTACGTAAAGTGAATCAATATAAAATAAATTTCACGGTATTCCAATGTTGGGATCGCCTGAAGGTCTAAGATTAGGTTCCTCCCTCTAGCTATAAAGGTCGTCCGCTCGGAAACCTATCAAATTGTGGCCCCAGACCTAATGGTGTTTAACCTGTTCGAGTGATATGGGAGACAACCCTATAAGCAGGCGATGAGTCACAATAACGTGGCTGAAGTATGTTGACCAGACCACACACTAGAAGTTGAAGGGACGACGACGTTTCGGTCCGTCCTGGACCATTCTCAAGTCGATTGTGAATGGTCCAGGACGGACCGAAACGTCGTCGTCCCTTCAACTTCTAGTGTGTGGTCTGGTCGACAACCCTATAAATTGGTATTTGAATCACTTGCCAACCCATATGACTGTGCATTCTTGAGATATGGCAATTTCAGCCCGTCCTCCAAACAAAGACCCAAAAGTGATTCCATGCACCCCCCAAACCCCTTGTTTATGCAACCCATCCTCGACTCAAGTCCATTACATCCAGCGGTCAACCCCACAGACGCATTCATAAATTTTAACATGCTGTTCATTCAAAACGGGAATTTTCTCAAGCATAAATTAATATTATAATATATTAGCATACTGTGTATAAATAGGCATAGGTTAGGTTAGGTGTTTAGGTTCTGTTGGCGATTATTTGTATTTGTAGTACGTGGGTGAAGCATTTACAGCGTTGTGGTTCGAACAAAATTCGTCAGTGAAGCACTTGTTCCGGATATGTTCGAACGTCAGCAGTTGTGAGTCGTGTGTAAACCGCTTTTCATTCATAAACAGGGGGTTTGGCGGGTGCATGGAATCACTTTTGGATTTTTGTTTGGAGGACGGGCTGCACGACTCACAACTGATTTCGTTCGAACACTTCCGGAACAAGTGCTTCACTGACGTATTTTGTTCGAACCACAGCGCTGTAAATGCTTCACCCACGTACTACAAATACAAATAATCGCCAACTGAACCTAAACACCTAACCTATACCTGTATATGCACAACATGCTATTATAATATTAATTTATATTTGATAAAATTCCTGAATAAATAAACAGCATGTAAAAAATTATGAATGCATCTGTGGGATCGACCGCTGGATGGAATGGACTTGAGTCGAGGACGGGTTGCCACAAAAGCCTAAACATGAGACACACTCAGACGAACGTTAGGGTGATAACATTATATTTTTCCATTAATGCAGTTTGATTTTGTGGTGAAAATTTATAGTGACTGCGTTTGTCGCGGTGTCAAGACCATCCTGAAATAACGCAAAGGTTGAAGTACAAGAACGCCCAGGACGTTAGTTAACGTACGCACATATATATAGGAACTACTGCGTCAATGATCGTCTATTTGGTAAGGCTGATTGATTCTTGTATCAGTACTGTAGTGATTTATCCCACACTCAAGGAGCTTTACATTCTATACAGCTGTTATGGCTTTCTCCTTGGTAAATAATGTACTTTATATCTTTGTAGCCTAACTCATTTATAAATTATAAACATCTGTGAATAAAGTGTTTTAAATTGAATTCGCACATTATTCACAGGAACATTAAATGGCAGTGCGGTCTGCTGCATGATGCGAGGAGGACGTGTTGCTCCGCATCTTCGTGTTTGCACGTGGCTGCTGCAGCTAGATGTTGTGAATTTGTTCTCGACTGTTGCAGTGATACAGTGCCTTTGTGTATCGAGGAAATGGCTGAGGCGGTCTGCCTAGGTGATGGAAGATCCTGTACTGGGCCTGGAGAGTGTGACAGTGGGGATGGCAGACAGGATGATACTAGGCCGTATCAAGCAGTAGTAAACAGATATAAACGGAGAAATATTCAAAGACAGTGAGGAGGAAATAACAAAGATACCAAAAAATGAAGACATGCTCAGCAGGACGCGGGAGATGCAGACTAATGGAAGGAAGAGGCTGTTGTTCCCTACAGCATGTCAACTGAATTTCCATCAAAAGCTGGAGTGGACGGTTCGTTTGGCTAAGGAGTTTTTTGAATATGAACCACTATTCAAGGAGGGTCTTCACCGGCCCTATATAACAGTTGGGACAGAAGAGGCCGTGGAACACCTAACGAAGGATGGGTTTGAGAATATTGTGATGGTTACTCCGGAAAAAGGTATGATGTACACCAAGGTCATAGTGTTTAAGTATCCAACTTATTTGGATCCTGATTATCTATTGCTCAACAATGATAGTGTTGTTTGGGCAAAGAGGAACAGTGTTCGTGGTGAAAAACAAAGCCAGGTTGTTGCCTTGGTAAAGGGTGAGGCTCCAGAAAGAATTTTTGTGCAAGGACTAGGCTACAGGAAAGTTGTAAAATACATTGAGGAGCCCATATTATGCATGAAGTGTTCTCGTTGGGGACATATGGCTTGGAAATGCCAGTTTGACCCCAGGTGTCGGTACTGTGGTAAGAAACACGACTCTCGAGAGTGTAGAGTCAAGATTAAAAACGGTGAAAAAATCGTCCCATCTTGTTGCAATTGTCGAGGAAGCCACAATGCTGGTTCCTATCTATGTCGCATGAAGCCTCATCTGAGAGACTCGAGGACGGGTGCTACAAGCAGGATAGATGTATCCTCGAAGGAAGGAAAGATTGTGCAGCAGGAACATGGAGGAAACAGTTGGAAGCCAATGACAGCGCCTATGAACAATGTGTGGGAGAAAGGAACAGAGACAATTAAGGCGAGCCTAGGGAAAGTAGGAAATGCAGCTGAAAAAATTAAACCTTGTGGAAACAAGGTTCAGGTCAATATAGTGAACTCTGAGGTTGGTACTCAAATATTGGAATATCTAAAAAAACTAGAAAAGAGGATTGAGGCATTAGAAAAATTAACTATGGGGGGTAGACGGGGTGAAGATGGTGGTGAAACAGGACGTGAAATGGAAAGTGAAACAGGACGTGAAATGGAAAGTGAAACAGGACGTGAAATGGAAAGCCAAACAGGACGTGAAATGGAAAGCCAAACAGGACGTGAAATGGAAAGCCAAACAGGACGTGAAATGAAAAGCCAAACAGGACGTGAAATGGAAAGTGAAACAGGACGTGAAATGGAAAGTGAAACAGGACGTGAAATGGAAAGTCAAACAGGACGTGAAATGGAAAGTGAAATAGGACGTGAAGTGGAAAGTGAAACAGGACGTGAAATGTGCGTTGAAGAAAGTAAGGAAGAACATGACGTATTGATGATAGAGGATAGTCAGGAAAATGAACTTTCTAGTAGTGTTAGCGTTCAACCTTCTGTAGTGACAAATGTTGAAACAAAGGTTAAAGTAAAACGGTATAGAGAAATAAGAAAGAAATTAGATATGAATAAGATCACCTTTGATGCTAGTAGCTGTTGTGCAAATGAGGAGAAAGCAGAAATGTTACAGTGTTGGGAGAGTCTGTCTGAGAAAATCTCGTATCTCATGGAATGTGACAGACAGGGCAAAGGTAGTTTTATTAAATCATGGATGAAAGTAGAGTGAGAATATTATCTTGGAGCGTTAATGGGTTAAAATCTAGTGCGGTGGATGTACACTATTATACTCTTAGATAGTACTATATTAACCTGATATGTTACATGGGATTCTTGTATTTGTACTCACTGAATTTGTGCGCCCCTTGAGGGACTTGAAGTAGAGGGGGGTAGAAATAGCCTAAGCTACTCTATCCCTTTGAGATGTATTTTTTTCTTGTCTCAATAAACATACTTGAACTTGAATTGAACATTAAATGGTGCTACTTTATACATAGAACCACTCGGTAATGTAAGGATACTTTATTATGTATAGCAAACAAAATAATTGAAGTAGGCTACTTTTTAAAATTCGGTTACTGTATGTACAGTAAAGTTAAAATTTATTAAATAGAACTAAAAAAAATATTCAGTTGAATTGAAAATTTGTTTAATAATCGTATTGTCGGGGACAAGAAGCCTGTTTATATGAATACTTTAGGCTTGTATCACGTTTCCTTTCCTCCCAACAAGGTCGAATTACTGACCGTCCCCAGGATGCAACCCACAACAGTTGCCTAACTCCCGGGTACCTGTTTACTGCTAGGTTAAACAGACGCATTAGGTGAAAAGAAACGTACCCAACCATTTCTGAACCGCCCGAACATCATTACGCTATTCATCGAATTGTCAATCGGGGCAAAAATCGTAATTAAATAAGATGATACGTTGTTTATATCTGAAAATAAAAATATTTGTATTAAAATAGAGATATTTGTATTAAAAAGTTCTTACCCAGATGTTAAAGGTGATCTTCTTGTAACGATATCTGATTATAGAGGGATCTGTGATGATAGCCTTATACTTCATCTCCTGGTCGTCAATCTTAACCTTTAGTCTGTGCTGTGTTAAGGAAGAGCTGCTTAATTACATGTAAAGATTATATGGAAGGATATATAAAGTATATATATATTTATATCGCTGTTATGAAGGGTGTCAAAACTCTTGCCTAAAACGCCATATTGGCCCGCGCACAATAATAATAATAATAATAAATAATAAATGTTTATTCAGGTTAAGTACATACATAAAAGAGATTTTACAAAAGTTGATAGATTTATAGATAGAGCTAGTACATACAATGCCTAAAGCCGCTATTACGCAAAGCGTTTCGGGCAGGAAAAACATTAATGACTAAAACTTAATACTAATTGAGTATAAAGAATAAAATGTGTTGAGAACAAATAAAAATAAAGATAAAAAAGGGGGAACATGGCTAAAAAAGCAGAACAAATACAATTAGGTCTACAAACAGCGTTGTTTAAAAAAGCAGACATGGGTTGACAATAGAGGGGTAAGGTAGGTTACAGGGAATTTACACAACGGCACTATGACTACCCATTTAGGTAAATTTGCATTTGTGCAGCTACCCTAGACTATATGACTAGTCTAGGGTAGCAACAACTCGAGTTCCGCATGTCGCATTGTAGAGCAAAAAACAAATATATACACATTTTCTACTATAGGTTAATAAACCCATGGAATTTTATAACCGCTGAATCCGGTTTCATGTTCCCGTCGAAGCCACAATTGAAATTGAAAATGAAATAAGTTTATTGAGGTAAAATACACACAAAGGGATGAGGTAGCTCAAGCTATTCTCACCCCGTTCAGTACATCGTGTTAATACATACATAGACACATCACGAGCAATAAACGTATTACCGAACATTCTGAGAGATAAACATATACATTTCCTCCTTTACACAAGTACGAGGCCACAAGACATTGTGTCCAAATTCAGATAAATCCAACCCGTTCTTAGAGCAAATCCATTAGATCAAAACACCAAAGTGAATCACATGTTGCAACAATAGTCTACTTACTAAATCAAGATACCTATAGGAAGCGACAATTTCATAATCATAATAAAAACTTTGACTCATAATTTACGTTTGATTACAGTCTTCTTAATCATAAATGTTTAGACATGCAACTCGATCCCCTTCGTCGACCAAACGTGTTGTGGCTGAGTCATTATAATCGTTATCAGTAACGAACGGAAGGTTGTGCGGCGTCACTGACGATGCCAACTGTTTTCTTGTGTTCGTTATTAATGCGCAGCGTTACGTTACTGAACGTTATACTAAAATCAAATAGCCGCGCACTCAATTACCCTGTAGCCTAAAAAAAAATAAGTCAAATGTCCCGTTAGCTTCTATCCATAGAAGCTAACGGGACAGCTTTTGGATAGAATCATTAGCTTATATCCAAAATATTCAAAGGGCCCCATTAGCTTATATCCAAATAACACCAGGGATATATTAACCTGTATAATATTACCACTGACAGTGAAGAAAAACATAAGAAATATTGAGAAGATTCGTGTTAGAATTATTAATCTTACCTTTTCGGTCATATTCAACAACATATGTTTACAAGAAAGACTGCTACCAAAATATATTAACCTGTATAGTTCAAGTTCAAGTATGTTTATTGAGATAAGCAATAAATACATCTCAAAGGGATAGAGTAGCTTAGGCTATTTCTACCCCCCTAACCTGTATAATAAAACGTATGGCCCTATACAAGTCTGTAGCCACCAAAAAAGTAGGGCTTTATAAGTCTGTATGCAAAAGATCAGGCCCCAGCTGTTACCCTGTATCCATATATGCAAACCCCCACAGGCGAATTCAGATTAGGTAAAGGTTTCTCTAGGTTAGCATTTATAGTGTGGAGTAAATATCAACATATTTACTTTACACTATAAAAAAAACCCAGGTTATATGTCCCTGCGTTATTTGGTCTAATAACGGCGTTACTGGTGTGCGGCTAGTGTCGGCCTATCCCACTGAACTGAGGACAAAATGTTCACAACATTTTAGATATAGAACATATCCTTTAAACTTTATCCTTTAACTTTAGAGAACATATTCTTCGGTCCCTGGGTCTGTCTATCCATGCATCTGTCTTGTCTTCAACACTGTTACTTCCCACTCTTGAATAGATATGATTAACCTGTTGCAAGCGACACGTCGCCTATCCTCATAGTTTTGTGTCGACTTATCTCAAACGTCAAACGTCATTTTCCGGTGTCATTACTTCAGTGTTGCCGTACGTAGGTCTGAGACAATATATACTTGGTTGTCTTAATTCTCGATTTCTTCCTCTGGTGCCAATGATGTACGTTTTTATTTAAATGATAAGTACATCTCGAAACTAGTAAATCTCTAAAACAAATAAGGCATGCAAGTGAGCTACATTTTACACATACACAAAATCAATGTCATGTATAATTGTTAATGTGTTGAATAAGACACAGTATGTTTTGGAGCGGAGTGAGGATATAAGATATGATGATAAGGTGAATCACTACAAATATCCTAGTATCTCTTTAACTGGAGTTTCCTGTTGTTAACACCCGTACTACAGTTGCTTAATGTGTGGAAAATGTCTTAAACCCTTTCACTAATTTATTTTGAAAATCCAGCAACTATCTCTGAACTGTATTTTTGACAAATCTCTCATCCTGTCCATGGAGGACAGAAGAAAATGTATATATGCTGGTTAGCATTGTAAATGTGTGGCCACGTCTGTGGTAGAAAATAATAATTAAAAATATAAAAAAAAAATAAAAAGTACTATTCTAATGTATTCTTGCTATAAGAATGAAAGTTATTTACGAAGCCAAATATCTCGGACGACAATCATGCCCACTTATATATGACCTTAACCAGACATTTTCCATTTCAGCTATATCTTAATTGGCCTTCTTAGGAATAAATTAGCCTTCTTAAAATTAATTAGTTCCCAGTGTTAACTGCTGACCTTGCACAGGATGCAACCCACAAGAGTTTGCCATACCATATTTACTGCTAGATGAACAGAGGCATCAGGTGAAAGGATCATTTTCCCAACCATATCTGTCTCGCCCGGGGATCGAACCAGGGATCCTTGATTGTGATTGGAGAATGTAACCGGCAGGAGCCGGTGGCTGAGCGGACAGAACACAGGATGCGTGGTCCTGGGTTCGATCCCGGGCGCCGGCGAGAAACAATGGACATAGCTTCTTTCACCCTGATGCCCCTGTTACCTAGCAGTAAATAGGTACCTGGGAGTTAGTCACCTGTCACAGGCTGCTTCCTGGGGGTGGAGGCCTGGTCGAGGACCGGGCCGCTGGGACACTAAGCCCCGAAATCAACTCAAGATGTATAGCCCACTGTACTTCCTCAACGCTCTTTCTTAAGATATTTCAAGGAGTAGAAACGATTGGTGAAACTCTTACCTGATTGTTGGCAATATAATATTGTACGGTGAGGTTGTGGAGTTGACCAACTGTGAGCCACTTCTTCCTGATGAGAGTGGAGCCTACGGTGACCTCTTGACCCTCTCTAGAGGGCTTCATGACCAGGTGAAGCTGAAGCCTTGTGTGCTCTTCCATAGGCTTCACGCACAGCCTAGCTCCTGCCTCAACATTCCCCACCTCCAGCTCTACATTTGTAGCGTTTTCATAAATCTTTCCTGTGTGAAAAATGCCTCGTTGAGTCATTCTGTTTTAAAGATCATGATATGAGAGCCTTGTCTGAAATCGTATGTGTGTAATTTATTCAGTGGCACTCATTCATTCAACAGGAGTGAGTACCTGCGTACTTCCTCAACTGAAGATGGCAGGACTCCTAAACATTAATTTAAATTTTAATGGGGGTACAATTTTTTAATTTAGAGTAGGCCTAATGAATCTTTTTCAAACAATGTTCGTGAGCAGAAACGGAGAACTAAAGTCATAATGAAGTATTATTATTAACATGAGATTGAAAATAGCATGGATTTCCTTTTAATATTCTTAAATTCTCTAAATATATTTTAAGTAATTTGTTGGTATATTAAGTGAATTATTAATATATTGAATCCTCTCGTTTCATTTAACAAACTAATGACGAGCGGCACGACAATAGCCTGCAATTTCTGATAATAAACTCGTCTGTAATCTCTCAGTAAGCGGTAAATACTATCAACCCTCACCGTTCAGAGTACACTAATCCTTATCGCAAGCCTCACCGTTCAAGAACACTAATCCTGACCATATGCTCAACTGGCATAGTCCTATTGCCTTTTTTTACGGCCAATTTCTTCAGGGATTTCATTGCCTTCTCGGTTGCATTGTATCACTCATTATTGTTAATTCTTGTTTACCGCCAAATGTAATAGATCTGGTTTGATCCCTGTAACAGTTTCACTCACGTATATTAGAAAGTATTCTCGTAATCTACTCAAAGTTTGCTAGTGCAGGCTAGTAGACTAGACTCGCATCTCATGATTTTTCCCTGTTCTGTGAGGTGTGGATATTAACTTACAGTTAGCGCTATTAAAGAGTAGTGTGGCAGCGAGCACTGAATTTGTTAATAATGATAATAATAAAATGGTTTACCGTTCAAGCTGAAAGCTTCTCCAAATCTCTCGATAACTTTATCGGAGATATCTCTCTTACCCCTTTCTTTGAGGACATCACCATTTCTCGTAGCCTAATTACTTGATCCGTTGTCACGATTTTTTTCTGATACGATTGAGCACAATAATGTGGGTTGTTGTTTTTAGCATCTCGCACTCATTCTCAAACTGCCTCTCTGCTTCTCTTCTGACTCTAGTGTACTCGTTTCTGGCTTCTCATGCTCTCTGATGACTGTAGTACTCTGCTGCCCATACTTTTTCCCTGTCTTTGACCTTAAACATACTTAAAACCATGATTTAATATTATCTTCTCGTCTACCTCCTGACTTCTGATAAAAACTGGGTCAACCTAGCGTTGTCAGCCTAGCGTTATTAGCCTAGCGTTGTCAGCCTATGACCCTTTCCTTTAATGTTTCTTTTGTTATGGTTTGCTATTGTCATAACCAAAAAAAGTTAAAAAAATGTATAGTATCCGTTAATTTTGCTTTCTGCGCGACATCCCCAATTGAAGAGCTCCTTCATTGTCCTGTCAATCTGCCTGCTGTTAAATCAATCAGATTTTGGGAGCACTTGTGTTTAATCCACTTGCCAGTATTGCTGCACACTTTAGCACCACTGTTCCACACTGTTCTTCTGTTCTCGTTTAGGGCTCCAAGTGTTCGCCGGTTGTGGATGTCCCACCATTCTCCTTTTCTTTGTAGTCATGTGATGTTGTCCTGTAAGTCTGCAACTTATGTCTTCTACGTTCCTACCACCTTTCCCTGGTGTTCCTGTTTTTTTATCTCGTTACCCATTTAAAATATTGCATCCCTTTTTTTCTGTAAATTTTGTTGTTATTTCAATGGTTTCTCATCGTCGATCAGGGGATCGCCTCGTCCAGACCGACAGTGAGAAACGTAGTCATCCAATAAGTTATTGGCCAAACCCAGCGCTATTTTAGGACTGGCTGCTATGAAACTCCAAAACTCTTTCCTGGAATTCCCTGAGTTATTCGTGATACCACACGCATTCGTCTAAGTTATTTGTGATGCCATACTTCACTAATGCATTGACTTGTAGCTCGATCCTCGACACGTCTTGTTCCAGTTGATTGACGGTTGAGAGGCGGGACCAAAGAGCCAAAACTCAACCCCTGCAAGCACAACTAGGTGAGTACTTCTTAAAAAAAAATTATATATATATATAATTTTTTTACCATTATTTTTACCTTTTTTACCACCAATTTAATGACCACGACGGGGACAGGATGCCGGCGTCTTGTCAAAGCCCCTCCCCCCTATTTTTCCCCGAGGAATATTTTCAACTCGATTTTGAACTGAAGAAATGTATTGGCATGTACGGCTTCGGCGAGTATGAGGTTCCACGGGTTAATAACTCTATGGGTGAAAAAAACATATATATCCTGTTTGCTGTCGTACATTGAGGCTTGAGCTTGGAGCTGTTGCCCCTCGTATTTATTACACGTGACCATTTAAAGAAGTGGTTTGATTCGTGATACATCCACATACGGTTCAATTCTACTGGAGGCTGTCTCACTGTAATCCCGTAGAAGGGAAAAACAAAATACTAGACCATACTATACTTGCTAGTGACGCTTTACGTCAACAATGAGCTGTAATTGCTTAACTGAGTAATTCGTGCATCAAATTCCAGGACAATCATTTCTATCCTGGCCAGTTTAAAGGATTCTCCTCTATTAATCATACAGTGTGAGATGTTTAACTTGGCTTCATGTTACACTGTTATGGAGAGTGGTAATTACATATAAATTAGCATTAGCTGATGACTATACTGTATAAGCTTACCTCGTGTGTAGAGTGCGTTGAGCAGCAACAGCAGCAGCTGTCCCATGGGCCATAACCTGCCGCTCTTGTACATCTTGCTACTTGGAAAACAAGTTGTAATGTTTACAAGTTATCTTCTCTTACTCTGACTCGTTAGTCAATTTGCAATTCGGTTTTCGCTTCGTTCACAGCCTCGTATTTTATACTACTAATATCTCTAATATATTCTTATGAAAGACGGTCGTGAAGCCAACAGGTATTGTTTATTTCTGAGGAGTTTACAGTTGCTTTGAAATCCAATAAAGTCTTGATCACAGTCACTAAAAGTAATTATAGTGTGTTGGTTCAGCCTGCCTCAGTTTGCGACGGTCTGGTGTTAAGGTTAATTCCACCAGCTGGGAGCCTCAGTGGGTCCTATAATCTTGATCCACACAATTCGGGCCCCTGATGGAGAACTCCAGAGGCCGTCACTGTAATGGGGGATAACGTCTTGTGATATATCAAGTTGTATACGAGTGTTCGATCACAAGCTCTTGCCCTCCTAGGCGTTCTATCGGACAGGTACCGCGTGTTGCTGGAGCCACAAGGAAGTACAGACTGAGGCAACATTACTGCCGTCGTATTATCAGCGTCATGTCGTTGTCTTAAGCACAGTCATTATCGTACCCTCAGTTAATCAGTATTTTTTTGTTAGTTTAGTTCATTTATTATGCACCCCATACCCATCCTGTGGGCGGTGGTGGGACAATGCCCGAAACACTTTGCGTAATAGTGGCTTAAGGCATTGTATAAGGGGGTAGAAATAGCCTAAGCTACTCTATCCCTTTGAGATGTATTTTTTTCTTGTCTCAAGCATACTTGATAGACATTGTATGTACTAGCTCTATAAATCCATCAATGTTTGTATCTCACCTTGTATGTATGTACTTTACCTGAATAACCATTTGATTTTGATTTGAATACTAGAGGCACATAATAGGCTCAAAGACTGAATCCCCAAAATTCATTTAGCTAAGCAATTTACAGTCTTGATGTGCTAATTACACAGTATGAATTATTATAACAATTATGGGTTCGAGAATGACCATAAGTACAGTTTCCAAGCTAAGCAAACAACGGTGGAGGAAGAGCTTGTGATAGTAACGGTAGCGATAAGACACCAATGTTTTATCAAATGAGTCATCACCCACAAGCACTGATAAGATTTTGCTTGATATAACCACACCCCTTCCCGCCATGGTTCCTTCCCGCCATGGTTCCTTCCCGCCATGGTTCCTTCCCGCCATGGTTCCTTCCCGCCATGGTTCCTTCCCGCCATGGTTCCTTCCCGCCATGGTTCCTTCCCGCCATGGTTCCTTCCCGCCATGGCACCTCCCGCCATGGTTCCTTCCCGCCATGGTTCCTTCCCGCCATGGCACCTCCCGCCATGGTTCCTTCCCGCCATGGCACCTCCCGCCATGGCACCCTCCTTTCCTTCACCACTTCCGTCCTCAATCGATATTTCTGCTTATTTTCATTTGTATTATTATAAGAAGTGGTGAGTTTTGGGCTACCGGGAGATTTTTTTGCACAACTTTTTTTCTTAAGCTAAGGTACATGCTGTGCTGCCACTATTCAATATATTGCATCACAGACTAAATAGTAAGAGCTGATGCTATAAACAGCGGTGGATTTTTTTCCATTAATTTTTTAAAAGATTTAATGCAAACGCCCCCCCCCCATTTATGTGTATCAATGGGGGATTCATACAGAATGACACGATGTCCTTCCCCCAATTTCCATTTCCGTCCATGCTCTTGAATCTCCACCTATCTCTGCAGCGGCGTCGGCTGATCTCGCTATGGCAGTTCTCGTAGCCCTTGATTCTACCTCCTAGTATGGTCCCTGATAGTGCTATAACACCTAGACAGAACTATAACAAACTCTGTCTTCAAACAACTCACAGCTCCTCTATTTAAGTCCCTTAACATGCTAAACATACACTTACACTCATTCCACACATTCTCATGTGCTATTTACATGTACGAAACCTTGTTCCTAAATAAAGCTAATCTTGATAGGTCTAGTAGAACCCATGAGCATCACACCAGAAATAAATATATCTTTGATATCCCCCAGAGTCAGACTAAGTATGTGCAAACACTCCATGCAAATAAAAGAACCCAGTCTTTAGAACTCACTTCCTGATGAATTAAAAAAATTGTCCAACACATGCCCTGTTCAAAACTAAAATAAAAACAGTACCTAATTTCATCCTCATAGTTTCCTACCTTGTGCTTCTAACTCACACTGTATCTTGTACTACCCACTTCCCCAATATTAGTACTTAGGACACACATCCTGACCAGTGTAATCACCTCTGTCAACTTATATTGTAGTTATTTGTGGATATAAAAACCCTGCTACAATGTACCCTTTCATCTTACCTGATATATTAGATTAAGGACCTGCCCGAAACGCTATGTATGTTAGTGGCTTTGCATGAATGTAAACACACCAGTCTCATGTAATCTCACCAACCCATTGTACCTTCTTGCAAATAAATTATTATTACAGTATTACATTTGCACCGCCTTTGCATACCTCCAATGTTACCATTCTTTTTGACCTGGAAATGGCTTGACACCACCTGGAGATCCAATATTTTATCCCAACTAGATTTTTTGGCCTTTATGGCAATCTCCCACTCTTTCTTCAAGGCTTCTTCTCTCAATGTTTATTTAAAGCGAGACTTTGGTATTCCCGAAAGTAGTGTTCCAAACTTTACAACCCGTTTTTCCAGGGAATTTTTTTTCTTTTTGCAATGTCCCACGAGGGTCATTTTTCCCTAGATAACGGCCTTGGTGAATCCGATATTGATATCGCTTGCCTTGTATCCTTTTATTCCCGTATTGGCATTATAAGTTATATTTATTCTTTTGAGTAACCCAGCTTGATGTCTTTGATAATTACAGTACTTTCTTACATATTTAATGAATAATTACAAATGAAAGAATACCACAAAAATAAGTTCAGCATTTTATTTGGTTCTACTGCCCTAAATTCACAATATTAAAAAGGTAAAATATGTATAAGTGATGAAATTATCAAATGGAAGAACTGGAAATTGAGAACAGAGCTGAAGTACAACTGCCGTTTGTAGTCTGAACGCCTTCCACTGTTACACAAATTATTGGTCCTTGTCAATGCAAACATTTGTATATACAGTTATTCATTACCCTTCTATATCGTGAACATCATAAAATCTTTTGCTGAATTGTATCTGGGATGATAAATTGTATTCATTGACAATTTGTACATACTGATCTAGATGTGAAGTTTTATACACAAATCAATGTTACAAGATCAGAAGAATGACAAATTAAAAATTACACATGGAATACACTGGTTAAACCTAAAAAAAATTTTGTGCTCATTACAAAAATGTTTTATATCTAAGTATATTTGATACAAAATTATTTTTCTTCTTACTCTGCCAAAAATTTAAAATTACCTCAATGTCAAAGCCAAATCAAAACATGTTTAAAGGACTAGACCAGTGACATTAAAAATAGCATACTTGACAACAGTGATCACTATATATGAATTCCTTTTAAACAATAAATAAATTATTCAGAGACAGACTAGGAAAATTGGGGAGGAAGGGCAGAGCAACATTCCTATTGCAAGACAATTTCTACATTATAAAAATTCACCCACCATAAGAATATTCAAGATTCTGGATATATAACTGGCTACAATACAACCATGTCTTAAAATGGCTTTAAAATAAATTTGTATTACCAAACATGACATCAGAACACATGTTTAACATCAACATGGCTTAATATACAACATACAACATGAATATCCATTTAAATATATATATGCACCTAATTTAACATCAGAAAGTTAAGTCTATTACCTAAAACACTGGTCATTAAAAATGCATACAGTAACTCTTGAGTACAACGTTCTCAAATTAAGTCTTAACTATCATTAACAATATTTTTTTAACTTTCTGAAGGCCAAAATATATAAATGCAGAAATTTAACATATTAACCGAGCTAAATCTCATTACCTCTTCAGGGAGTAAAACATGTCATGATACTGTAAAGTATTTCCTTTTAGCAAAGCTACCTGTTGGCCATGCTTCAGTTTTGTCATTAATAAACTTAATCTGTCACAAGGAGGAGAAAAAAAAAAAAGTTCAAAGATAAAAAATGGATGGACATTTAACATGTAAAGGGGATCCCTGGTCCCTATTAAGATATAGTATTGACTGGGTTACAGAAGGCACGGGATAAGGCTAAACGGTCTCCCAGCTAGGAGTTTACAATTTTTATTTTTTATTATTATTATTTTTTTTCTGAGAAGACAACCATTCAGAGAAAACACTTGGTTGCTATGTACCAAATATGAGAAAAAATGCACCAAACTAAGAGTTTACATATTGTATAATCTGCACCAATCTTGTCATTGTTTATATATCATTTCATACACATTGGCAGTCTTTTTCCGACAGCTAACCTCTAAATACAAATACTAGAAAGCTCAAGATTTACGCCTACAAAATAGCATACTTAGAAATACATGTTAAAATTAAACAAGCACACACCACCACAACTCCTCACTAGCTGGGACACTGTACAAAGGTCACAACATGACAATCATATCTTAGTGCAGACGATGAGTCACAATAACGTGGCTGAAATATGTTGACTAGACCACACACTAGAAGGTGAAGGGACGACGACGTTTCAGTCTGTCCTGGACCATTCTCAAGTCGATTGCAAGAATCGACTTGAGAATGGTCCAGGACGGACCGAAACGTCGTCGTCCCTTCACTTTCTAGTGTGTGGTCTGGTCAACATCATATCTTAGTCTCTCTTGGATAAGGTTAGTGCTGGCAAGACAAGATATTGGTTTTAAAAAGGTTCTCAAAATTAACCGAGGGCAACGGGCAATTAATTGGCAAAATACATTTTTTGTTAGCCTACTGATGGCAGTTTGGAATGCTTGGCAATGTGTAACAATATTTCTTCTATCTTGCATACATCATCTCACCAGAATGAGAGGATTGTCTATGTTAGATAAATGGCACCTCAATAATGAAACTATTTTTCACTGTCTACCTGAGTGATTTGCACCTAGTTCTTGGTTCATGTGTACATAGTTCATGTGTGCCTACTAATGCATCAAGTTCATTTGTGCACCTAGCTCATATATATATATAGTACATATATATATACCTAGCATTTTTATATAACAATTCACACACAATTTTTTTGCAAAAATATAATTTACAATAATGTGATTCGTGGATAATGGGATATCTATTACAAGCTTCCTAAATTATCCAGCTCGTCTATTTTCCAACAATGACCACTTAGTTTAACGACTTTCAAGATCACGAATGCACTTAATAAAATGATGCAATATTCGAAGTGCATTATTTATACTCCTACCAATGGATTAACAATCAATGAAGCACTACAAACTTACCCAAATGTTTCCAAATAATGTGGAATGGTAACTGTGCAAGGTAAATTTGGATCACTTACAGGACAGACTTGTTACAGAGCGGGACCAATACAGGAATCAAACAATCCAGAAATATTTGAGAACGTTAAAATTAACAGATAGGCCTTCCACCTCCGAATAGAAATTGGACAACTTTGCTTCCATAATTAATACTAAGTCATAATTAAATATATTACACAAAAGATCTCTTATTCCAACAAATAGATCGATTCATGTGGTTACTTACATTATTACATATATTCAGTATTTGTACAAAATATGAGGAGACTAACCCGGCCTTAACCACTAAAATGACACTAACGTCCCGCCAAAAAAAAGCTCCCAAAGCACGACCCAAACCCAAACCTAATTGCCCATATAAGAATACGGTTCAAGGTGAGGCATGGCAAAATATACACTCGAGTCAATGCACCATACCCTCCAGTGGAAGATGTAGAAGGATGTGAGTTGCTGGAGAATATGACAATTTCTTTAAGCTTACCATGGAACTACAAACCATTTGAGAGATGAGAATCGAACATTAAAATCTATTCTTCAGTAACGCACAGTTTACATGAAGACATCACACCAAAATTAGTCATAATTTTTTTAAATTGATGAATATTTTCCTTTGTGCACAACTCCATTTACTGAGAAATAATGTACACAATTTTTGCGCCAAAATTAACTACTCTTACCACGCTACACGAGCTAAGTAATAGATTTGAGCACATTTTTATAACATTTAAACCAATATTTATAACTGTAGAATAAATTCAGAATTTTCACACACAAGACACACAATAAATGCTGGTGGAAGTACAGTAGTTAACAAGAAACAGGTTCTCAAACCTTAATCAAGTACACAGGCTATAATGAGTCACAAGGGGGGAGTCAAGTCTTGGTACACAAGGCATTTGACCTGAATATAAGGAGCACCATGGACACGAGACACAGCACAAGCTAAACACCTCATATATGGCAAGATCTGTATCTTCCAACTTTGTAACATAGAAGTGGATCCCGAGGCCAGTTTGCACGGAAGAACTATTTTTCCAGCTTTCTGCTACGTCATATTTTTCCTGAAATATGAAAAAAAAAATTAGTCAAGATAATGTACCTTTATTTGATTTAATATAGCTAAATAAAACTATGATTTTTAAAAATAAAAATTTAATTCTTACAATTCTAGAATAAAATACCGATCAGGATTTAACAATTAAAGAATGAACGGACATTTTAAATTCATGAAAGGGTTTAATTGGAACGAATGCATGGTACAATTAGATTTCATAGAGGCAAATCACTCGAGGAAAATGTGCTTTGAACATTGGAGGCAAAAGAACCTTATTAAAAAAGAAAAAAAGCTTATGTCATCAGTAATTTAGAACATTTCATTTATAAATGCTGAAAACAACTATAGCATGGAATTTATTTGCGTCTTTGTTTAACCTTTGCACTGCTCCAATCGCTATCTGGAATTTCCTCCCGTGCTCAAATTGCATAACGGTTTTTCTTCAAACCCTCCCCCCCACATTTAATTTGTTAACCATTTTAAAATCACTTGCACCTCTATATAGTACAGTACTGTTAAATAGCTACAAACAGGACTACAAACAGGACTACTCCCAGTTATGACTCGCCATCAACAAACTATTTTTTTTTTTTAAACTGTTTGCAAGATGCCTCCAGTATGTGCTTATTTACAAAGGCTCAAATTTTGACTCAAAACTGCTTCAAATCTACAGGATGTAAACCAATACATCAAAAGAGTAAACCAGTTTTTAACAATTACTGAAAATGGTTAAGTTTAATGGGTAAAGGGTTCAAGAAGTTACAAAAACCTGTATGAAAAAGGCTTCAAATATCAAGAGGCAAAGTAATCAATAATAGTAATTTTTATAATCTATTTTTACAATCTATAAATATTTATAACATTATGGTTCGAGTTATTTGTATCCCAAATTCTAGTATCATGAGCATTTGGTGCTATATAGCTTTCCAGGCCATTTGTGTTCACCCTTAGGCTGTGATTATCGTCTAATGACGATCCATAGGGAACTGCATTTTTTTTTTTTTTTTGAGATATATACAAGAGTTGTTACATTCTTGTACAGCCACTAGTACGCGTAGTGTTTCGGGCAGGTCCCTGGAATACGATCCCCTGCTGCGAAGAATCGTTTTTTCATCCAAGTACACATTTTACTGTTGCGTTAAACAGAGGCTACAGTTAAGGAATTGCGCCCAGTAAATCCTCCCCGGCCAGGATACGAACCCATGACATAGCGCTCGCGGAACGCCAGGCGAGTGTCTTACCACTACACCACAGAGACTGCTTATCATCATCAAAAGATGATTTAAACTATTATTGACCGGGTTTTGTGTGTAATGAGGGGGAAAAAAAAAAAAAAAGTCAAATTCACCAAGGTTCCTATCAAAGTGTATTATTTGAAGGAAGTGTTGGAAAATAAAATCTTTTATCCTAAATGTGAGGACCTTTTACAAGGAGGTACTAGACTTTTAGGAATAACAACGATCGTACAGCAGAATGCAGGGGCTTCACTTCATCAAGTGCCCACAAGCCAGTCACATATGATCAATAACTTAGGCAGATGATGTTACCAAGACAGGAAATGGTGAAAGAGGAAATCTACAGAGATAAAGAAGATAACAGGAGGGGGACATGGTGTGGATATGCACGGGGGAAAGAAACCTGAAAGCGAGCCATCCAAGCATTAAAAGACTGCATAGGATAGTGAACCGGGAGTCAACATGGGCAGCAGTCATAGTGGTATAATCGTGAATGAGAGCTTTGGATGGTCAGTATGAAATATCAAAGGTACAATAATACCAATCGCAATGATCTTGCAATGATTGAACACTGGTTTCTATATACAAGCTCTAGGTTTGGAAAGAATGAAAACTCCCAGAAAGGTATTTAGATACAGTATGTAGGCTACATTACTGAAACTACTTAACCATCTACAATTATATCCCTGCAAATGTAACATTAATGAAACCAACTGCAATAAAAATGACATAGCTCGCAATCATCCGAGTGTTGCCGTCTAGTTACTTCACAAACTAGATAATGTCACACATACAAACAGAAGATGTACATTGGCACAATAACAAATTTTAATTTATTTTTTAACATCACAAATTAGTAAATGACAAAACAATTAGTGACATACTTATGTTCTTTGCACTGCAACAACTGCCATCATATGGTTGTGCGGTAAAGCCTCTTCATATCCTCCTTTACTCTTCATTTGGGACTGTAATTGGGCCAACTGGTTATTGGCCATCTGTACATCACTCGAGCCAATGTGCCCTGTGTGTACGAAGTTGGTTGGCTCTCCAATCATGGTGCGGTCTATACGGCGACGCCGACGCTGCAAACAAAAATTTTTATTTTTTAAAGGGTAAAAAAAAAAAAAAAAAATGCAGCCAACATATGATAAAAAAATATTCCTGCCATAAACATTTTTATCATTCCATAGCATCTGGCATATTAAAGTTAATATCTCCCAATAAGTTCTGTACAGTAGTTCCTTGCAGTATTGTCAGTGTTTCACAGAAGACTGACTGGCCAAAACAGGCCTGGCTACCTCACCAAATCCTCATTACCAGGCACCTTTGTATGTACAGGACACCAGAGGAAATCTATTTAATAGTTACACACTCATGATAAAATGAACCACTTTAAAATTTCCGAAATAAGGAGACATCAAGATAATAGATAGATTAGACTCTAAATATACTCCAGAAATCACACACTTTGAAACAGTATTGGTTCAACATTATTTCCATTTAAATTAAAGTATAAATATTGATTTCTGGTGGGACCCCAAGTCCCATTCATAACATTGTGCTGTGTGAAATAGTGTTCCAACTTTCAACCAATTGACTTTGGCCTGTGACAGCATATTTAAAATGTATCTCCATCATAACTTAGGAATCCATTTCACATGAACTTCAGTACAATAATATTTTTTTCTACTAATAAAGTTTAGCAATACTGTACAGTAACTTAAATGCAGTCTAAAGGTAGCTATACAGTACCTGTACTAAGATATTCTGAAAAAAAAAACACCTGTACAGCAAATTACAGAAGAAACAATATAATTTGTTAATTTAAACTCTACAATTCAACAGAAGCAGCAAACATGAAATGAACCAACTTATCCTCTAACTAATGCACCTCATTTTGTAGACTATGGTTTCTAATGGACAAAATATGAGGTACTACGAATGGTAAACACACAAATATCCACATTTTCTGTGCAGGTTGAATACATTAAGTGGCTTGGGTTCATGCATTTTACTACCCTTTATTTTGTATGTTGTGGCAAATCAAGAGGAAAGGGTGGCATGAAGACCATAGCCTTACCTGTGGTGGCTGTTGAGTGATGCAGCACGTAAACCACTGGCCCCACACATCACCAGCCATTGTTGAAGAGTAGATGGGCATCGGAGCTGCTACTGATGCACACAATATAGGCACGGAGATTTGCCGAGATGGACAGGCGAACCTCCGAATCCCTTGCCAAAGGTCTAATCTTTCATAATCTACAAAAAAAAAAAATCATGAAAAATGCATTAATACCTCAGTCCGAGAGAGTGTCTGCAAATGTTCATTGAAAAATTACATTTCGTCTCCTTGAATAAACCAATTTACCTTTATGTAAGGAAATTACAAATTTTCATAGGCCTAACATTACTAGATGAGATTATTTGCCATTATTGGTAGTATTGATTGATATAGTTCAGAGAAGTCAGTCCCTCTACCAAGTGGTTACACACAAAGCAATGACACTGCTAGGAAAAACGAAACTATTTTTGTTGAATATTCAGTCCAGTTTATAATCCATCCAAGATAAACCATGTTAATCTTATGCACCAGTTTTTGGGTTTTTTCCAAGTTTTAAGATGTGAGAGTTACATTGTAACCTGTACCTTTTAATGAAGTCATCTGTATTAATATCTCCATATTCTGAAAAACCCTCATCATGTCTGGTTTGCAGTGTTGGTCCTGAAAACCTCAGCTTTTCCTGTTTAGAGTTAACTTGGTTCTGGAATGATATTTGTCCCTTATTTGTCCTTTCAAAGGCATTGTCTCCATGATTGGATACATTAGAGCAGATGGGAGTTTTCCATAGATGAAATCCAGGCGAATAACCACTTTATTTTCCTGAAAGTCAACAGTTCATCAGCTCTTACAGTTGGCCAACTAATTACTGCAGCTCCCACATTCTGAGAAATTCTCAAGTGCTGGTGGATCACAACTCTTAGGTTTTCAGCATGGCTGTGCTGTTGGGTATGTTATATATACACAGTACTGTAATGTGTATTGTTATGGTTTACTGTATTTCAATATTGAAAAGCATTTGCCAGTCGTCTGTCTGACTGTGGAATTCATATACTGTAGATACTTTTCCAAGGCCTCAACATTGTTTTCACTTCCTATTATGCAAGTTTGATTATATGTTTTTGTATTTTATCAATGTTTTATATTATTAAATTTTACAAAAGGGGTCGACCCTACGATAGAATCATGCAGTACTGTACTCAAGATTTGATCAGTTGTTCTCTTCCATTTAGGACGATCCTTTCGTTGCTCTGTTTTAACAATCATTTTTATCCATTCTATCCATTTATTCCATGGCACTATCAAAAGCTTTAGAGTAGTCCATATACGATACAGCTACTGGTGGTCTTTTGTGCAGTTGTTTCTCTCCAAGAACATCGGCAGGTTTGTTAGGCAGGGTTTATTTGACAATCATACATTGATAGTTTTACATAAATTGTGTACCGGTTGACTAAGAAATTTCATGGAAACCTGTTCATCAAGTTTATTTTATCCCTTGTGTGATACTACAAGGTGAAGGTCTTGTCTCAGAAAGATTGAATCATTTTTATTTGCTCGACAGCCGACGGCCAAGTGAACAGCGCTCGGGATTCGTAGTCCTAAGGTTCCAGGTTCGGTCCCCAGCGGGGGGGCAAAAAACAAATGGACGTTTCTTTCACCCAGATGTTCCTGTTCACCTAGCAGTAAATAGGTACCTAGGAGTTAGACAGTTGCTAAGGGCTGGTTCCTGGGGATGTGTAACAAAAAGGAGGCCTGGTCGAGAACCCGGCCGCGGAGACACCAAGCCTCGAAATCATCAAGATGACTGTTCTCAACAAGTTTGACTATGGGTCAGTCAAAGACCTACATAATTAGTTTCATCTAGTCCCCCCATATATCCTAAACTAAACCAGTCTTACCTAGCTTAACACAACCTTACCAGAAATATAACTAGATAAGGCATCCAAGACTGTTTCCAACAGAATTTAAATCCTACCAAATCTTGCCAAACCCAACCTATGCTAACACTCTAACCTAACAATACATAGATTGTTTACAACTGGAAAACGAGGCTAATCAAAATACTGATGTAAATTATGACCATACCCCATACCTACCACCACAGCAACCCAAAATAAGGCAGCAGTGGCGGGATTCACCAAAATCCTGGCTGGAAATATTAAGAAAAGATATTCTCAGGTCTCCCCATCACAGTCTCACTATAATGCCCGCGCCTCTCGACACATGCAATACATAACCAATTTGCAAGAACCATTTAAGAACCTGCCAAGAACCTGCCCGAAACGCTGCGCGTACTAGTGGCTTTACAAGATTGTAAATACTATGCTATGTATTCTCACAAATCCAATGTACCTTCTTGTATATAAATAAATAAATTTATGTGAAAACCTCAACCTGCCCAAACCTATCTGTACACCGTGATCCTCCTCTCATTACTCCTCCAAGACTTTTATCTCCAGGTTAAGGAATGAGAACACCCGTGTTCCGTAATCACAGGCGGGTCAGCAAACCATGAATCACAACAATCTTAAGACTCACTGCGATTTTTTGAGAAATTTGGCAGCCCAACCCACACGTCAACACAGATGGACTGATCTCTCTCTCTTCAATTCACCGATTCTCGCCACTTATTTCATCGATCCGAGTGTCATAAGGTAACCAGCTGGTTTTCAGCTGACTTTACAGAACTGCTAAGAGTTGGTAGTCAGCGTCCGGTGCCTCTACTGTTATGATAAACAAGAAAATCTATGAAAATGACCAACACCTCAGTGTCTCCAATTACTCACGGGCGTGTCCGAATGTCTCGGGAAAGTCAGGTTTGAAATATAGACCAAAATAACACCCGATATTAAGAAAATTGTTATAAACTTTTAATAAATTATGTATATGATACAAATTCACATATTTAGTATTACTTTTTTTCCTTTAGAGTATCCGAATAAAGTCATTAATTGTAACAGAAGTTGATTAAAAAGATTCGAACACTACCGACACAAACATTCACTAGAGGAAGATAAAATGTATTTGTCCCTATTCAGATCAAAATATTAAAGCTATTAATTTATTTACTTATTTATCCACATCTTATGTGAAGCTTTGTAGGCACATATGATGAAAAAGTTAAATAGTCGATGCCATTTCGAATAATTAGACCGATTTAAGCATTTTGGAATTAATCTTGAATGTAACCCTTTAAGAACTGTCTGTTCATTTGATGATCAATAATCACCCTTTTTGTCGTTAGCCTACGAGAAAGTTATAATAAGATTTGCTTTGTTATATATCAGATGTGCGGAGAGGCCGTATGGGGCGCTCAAAAATGAGAAAAGTCAACGTGTGTAGCTCAGGGGCGGTTTTATTCAACTTTCTACAGGAAGAGAGAGAGAGAGAGAGCATCCGTGCGCTGCTCTTGCTCTCACGTCATCGTCTAGTTATCAACTTAAGCAAAGATTACACCTGTGTGTGTGTGTCTTTGTGTGTGTGTGTGTTTGTTTTGTGTGTGTGTGTTTGTCTTGTGTGTTTGTCTTGTGTGTGTGTGTTTGTCTTGTATGTGTTTGTTTGTCTTGTGTGTGTGTGTTTCTTTTGTGTGTTTGTCTTGTGTGCGTTTGTCTTGTGTGTTTGTCTTGTGTGTGTGTGTGTGTGTGTGTGTGTGTGTGTGTGTGTGTGTGTGTGTGTGTGTGTGTGTGTGTGTGTGTGTGTGTGTGTGTGTGTACTCACCTAATTGTGCTAGCGGTGGATAGGCTTCGCCTCTTTGGTCCTGCCTCTCAATGGTCACTCATATTGGTAATTTAACTATAAGTGTATAGGTTCCTGAACCTGTTGGGCTCTATCATATCTACATTTTAAACTGTGTATAGAGTCTGCCTCCACCATAGCATTTCTTAGAGCATTCCAAACAACGAAACTAATAAAAATTCTTTCTAATATTTCTGTGGATCATTTGGGTCTTCAGTTTCCACCTGCGTCTCCTTGTTAAACAATCTGTCTTTAATTTATCAATTCCCGGAGAATTTTGTATGTGGTAATCATGTCTTCTACCACTAGAAACAAAAAGTTGCAGGTAGCACGGGCTATGGTGAGCCCGTAGTGGACTTACCTGGCACAGTGCACTTTCAAATGTATTGGAAACCGGAGCTGCATAATCGAGGGCTTGTCTCACCTATGTTGTAGTCATTTTTAGTCTCCTTTGTCAAGGCTTCTAGGACCGACCGGATACTTCAGTTTTTTTTTATATGTACCTCAGCATGTTTTTATTTTTAAATTTCTTCAGGAAATGGATTAATGTTTCATGTTAACATGAGAAGTGTAAAGAAAAACTATTAACCCCAGAATTGATCAGTAAATTAAACAATTTAATAATTGTACAAGATTTAAATAAATAATTTAATTTAATAGTTGTACAATATTTTAATTTAATAATTTAATTTAATAATTGAATAATTGCACAAGAATGTAAGAACGCTTGTATATATAAATAATTAAAATACAAAAGTAAATAAAATAAAAATTCAACAAAATAACGACAAACAGTCGCTATTCATTGATAATGTCTCAATAACATTTTATTAGTTATGAATTATGGTGTATAGATATGATTGTGTTAAAGGAAAACTCTGTTGGCGCCTCTGGCATATTTATTGAGGATAAGAAGCAAATTTTTAATATATTTTATTTATTTATTTATATATACAAAAGTTTTTGTCCTTAATCTTAATTGTTACTAGGAATACGACCCGCCAAATCGTTTAACAACCGTTCACTGCTGGGTGAATTGAGGCTACAGTTAAGGATTGGCGCCCAGTCAATCCTCCCCGGCCTGGATACGAACCTAGGCCAAAGCGCTCGCAAAGCCCCGGGCGAGTGTTTTACCGTCAAGGGAACAAAAGTTACATCCCCGCTCCTGTGCCAGGTAAGTCCACTACGGGCTCACCATAGCTCGTGCTACTTGGCCCGCTCCTGTGCCAGGTAAGTCCACTACGGGCTCACCATAGCCCGTGCTACTTGGCCCGCTCCTGTGCCAGGTAAGTCTACTATGGGCTCACCATAGCCCGTGCTACTTGAAACGTTTTGTTCCGAGTAATTGAATCTAAAACAACATCAAACGTCAAGGGAACGCTCGAGACAGGAGGAATATCTCTGGGGAAAAAAAGATGGCGTCGAGTGTGTGGCAGATGACGACGTCAGGTAAGCCATGACGTCACGAGGGCGGTAGGAGATGACGTCAGGTCAGTGGCGGGAGATGACGTCATTGCAACTGGACGACTGAGTTGCCGTCAATGTCGACTTAGCAATTTAAACCCACTGCTAAATAAAGGCTATGCCGGCAGCAACCAACGCGTTTGTGCGAGTTCTTGACCCCTGATGAGGCTACAAAAGCCTAAGCTTAGCAGGGCGAGGTTGACCTGGGGAATCTATGTATAAACGGTAGCCTCAGTCTAGGCTACTTTGGGCGCCATTTCTGCTACTGGGTTGGAAACTCGAGTATCGTTTTATGGAACGAAATACCGGGTAATACAATAGCTGCGGGATTGTTTCAAGCGAAGGTTGGACCTTAATTACTGAGTTTGGGGGGAAAACTGCCTCGCAAGGAGCGATATAGGCCTACTGCAGCCTAGTTTGATGTTATATTCTGGTGTTCTTGAAAGAAGCGCGGTTACACGTGGCAATTAGTTGAGAGATCAAACTATAGGTTTTACCAGGATCTAATTCTCCAAGGAAGTATTCGGAGATGGAATTAGTCGGCGTTACAATGGATTTGCCTCATTTTGAAATAACTTCTTTATATATATCAGCTTTTAATTAATTTATTTTTGTTGATTTGATTTTATTCTTTTTTTTTTGTTGCTAGTTTACTTATATATATATATATATATATATATATATATATATATATATATATATATATATATATATATATATATATATATATATATAACTATTTTAGTCATTACTCTACATATGTATCTATTTAATTGGCTTCTTCTTTTAGTAATTGTATTTCATTTATTTTATGCTAAGTTAGGTTCAGCACCCTTGAGTGTGGCCTGTGGGTGGCCACATAGACACAGCAGGTGTATTGGCAGTAAACAAATCTGGAAATAAAAAGAAATAGGAAATGATAGGTTTTATCGGAAGTCGGTCCTGACCTACGGCATTGTTCTTATGTTGGTCACTGGGGCTGGCTCTGTCTCTCTCTCTCTCTCTCTCTCTCTCTCTCTCTCTCTCTCTCTCTCTCTCTCTCTCTCTCTCTCTCTCTCTCTCTCTCTCTCTCTCTCTCTCTCTCTCTCTCTCTCTCTCTCTCTCTCTCTCTCTCTCTCTCTCTCTCTCTCTCTCTCTCTCTCTCTCTCTCTCTCTCTCATGTTGTGTTTCTTGTTCACGCCTAGATAGCTAGCGAGATACTGTATAATTCTGGCAATGTCAATTGCCAGAACTGCAATTGCCAGACCTCCCTCCACGATGTAAATATGCTTCATTGCGCAAATCGACACTGGTAACCATAAACTTGCTTCGACACGCGTTCAGACGATCTGTATATTGCCAATAACAACACAAAATAACTGCCAACTTGCAAGCATTTGTGAATGCTATCAGAGCCTTTTGCAACGAATTTAAAACACCCATTGAG